CAAACTCGACAGCGGGCACCGAGTCATCTGGCACGACGGCGGGCACCGAGTCATCTGGCACGACGGCGGGCACCAAGTCATCTGGCACGACGGCGGGCACCGAGTCACCAAGCTCGACAGCGGGCACCGAGTCACCTGGCACGACAGAGGGCACCGAGTCACCAAGCTCGACAGCGGGCACTGAGTAATCTGACTCGACAGCGGGCACCGAGTCATCTGGCAGAACAGCGGGCACCGAGTCACCAAACTCGACAGCGTGCACCGAGTTATCTGGCACGACAGCGGGCAACGAGTCATCTGGCACGACACGGGCACCGAGTCATCTGGCAGAACAGCGGGCACCGAGTCATCTGGCAGAACAGCGGGCACCGAGTCATCTGGCAGAACAGCGGGCACCGAGTCATCTGGCACGACAGCGGGCACCGAGTCATCTGGCACGACAGCGGGCACGAGTCATCTGGGCACGACAGCGGGCACCGAGTCACCAAGCTCGACAGCGGGCACCGAGTCATCTGACTTGACAGTGGGCACCGAGTCATCTGGCAGAACAGCAGGCACCGAGTCATCTGGCAGAACAGCGGGCACCGAGTGACCAAACTCGACAGTGGGCACCGAGTTATCTGGCAGAACAGCGGGCACCGAGTCACCACGCTCGACAGCGGGCACCGGGTCATCTGGCACGACAGCGGGCACCGAGTCATCTGACTCGACAGCGGGCACTGAGTCATCTGGCAGAACAGCGGGCACCGAGTCATCTGACTCGACAGCGGGCACCGAGTCATCTGGCAGAACAGCGGGCACCGAGTCACCAAACTCGACAGCAGGCACCGAGTTATCTGGCAGAACAGCGGGCACCAAGTCACCAAACTCGACAGCGGGCACCGAGTCATCTGGCAGAAGAGTGGGCACCGAGTCATCTGGCACGACAGCGGGCACCGAGTCATCTGGCACGACAGCGGGCACCGAGTCATCTGACTCGACAGCGGGCAGCGAGTCATCAGGCAGAACAGCGGGCACTGAGTCATCTGGCAGAACAGCGGGCACCGAGTCATCAGGCTGGATCACGAACACCGGGTCATCAGGCTGGATCACGAACACCGGGTCATCAGGCTGGGTAGGATCATCAAGCTGGGTAGGATCATCGGGCTGGGTAGGATCATCGGGCTGGGTAGGGATTAATTACTATGCTTACTATGGGGGAATATTACTATACTTACTATGGATGACACATACACATCATTCATCTACTCTTGGTCCGGCCCCCGGGTCCAATATATGAACCCATTGCGGCCGTCAAGTCAAAAAGTTTGCCCACCCCTGACCTAGCCTGTCTGACCAAAGACTGCACTGCGTTTATACAATCCACTAGCACATGTTGTGAACATGCTGAATAATGCTCCAAGAAGCAAGCCGGATCATCCTCCAACAACCATACCAGTGACTGTACTTGATCCACACTGAATGGCGGCGAAAAGTCATCCCTGCTTTCAGGAGTACTTTACAGAGCCAATTCAGCACAAACCTGGATCAATGGCTGCACCTCAAAAAACAACCTGCCCTGATCTACTAGGGAATGAGCAACCCGCATGCACTCTAGCAGCTGATCCCTGGCATACTTCTTCAGAATCTGATAGCCGTATACTCTGTCTTCCAAGACTAGCAGAGACAGGTACTCAACACCTCCTTAGGATGCATCCTTCACAAACAACAAGCCAAGATGGCTTCCCTGTGCAGCCACTTCTGGTCAGGAATGGCCTTGGTGTTATGTCAGGGATCTAGGTATGACCAGAGATGTGTGGACTGACACAGCAGGCTTCAAGTATGGTGAAATAATAATAAGATTTATTATAGCTGCACAAAATAAACAAACGCAGAGCAAACAAAACCAAACCTTAACTAATACTAATATGTACAGTGGGGATCGAAAGTTTGGGCACCCCAGCTAAAAATTTGTATTAATGTGCATAAAGAAGCCAAGGAAAGATGGAAAAATCTCCAAAAGGCATCAAATTACAGATTAGACATTCTTATAATATGTCAACAAAAGTTAGATTTTATTTCCATCATTTACACTTTCAAAATAACAGAAAACAAAAAAATGGCGTCTGCAAAAGTTTGGGCACCCTGCAGAGTTAATATCTTGTACTGCCCCCTTTGGCAAGTATCACAGCTTGTAAACACTTTTTGTAGGCAGCCAAGAGTCTTTCAATTCTTGTTTGAGGTATCTTTGCCCATTCTTCCTTACAAAAGTCTTCCAGTTCTTTGAGATTTCTGGGCTGTCTGTCACGCACTGCTCTTTTAAGGTCTATCCATAGATTTTCAATTATGTTGAGGTCAGGAGATTGTGAAGGCCATGGCAAATCCTTCAGTTTACGCCTCTTGATGTAATCCCCCGTGGATTTCGAGGTGTGTGTTTAGGATCATTATCCATTTGTAGAAGCCATCCTCTCTTTAACTTCAGCTTTTTCACAGATGGCATCAAGTTACCATCCAAAATTTGCTGAAATTTTATTGAATCCATTTTTCCTTCTACTCGTGAGATGTTCCCTGTGCCACTGGCTGCAACACAACCCCAAAGCATGATTGATCCAACCCCATGCTTAACAGTTGGACAGAGGTTCTTTTCATTAAATTCTGTGCCCCTTCTTCTCCAAACGTACCTTTGCTCATTCCGGCGAAAAAAGTTCAATTTTAACCTCATCGGTCCACAGAACTTGTTTCCAAAATGCATCAGGCTTGTCTATATGTTCATTTGCAAAGTTCAAACGATGATTTTTGTGGTGAGGACGTAGAAGAGGTTTTCTTCTGATGACTCTTCCATGAAGACCATATTTGTACAAGTATCTCTTTATAGTGGAATAGTGTACCACAACTCCAGTGTCTGCCAGATCTTTTGGAGGGATCGTGCAGTCAAACGTGGGTTTTGAATTGTATTTCTCACAATCCTGCGAGCTGTTCTGTCTAATATTTTTCTTGGTCTTCCAGATCTTGCTTTAACTTCCACTGTTCCTGATGACTGCCATTTCTTAATACATTCCGAACAGAGGATATTGACATCTGAAAACGCTTTGCTATCTTCTTATAGCCTTCTCCAGCTTTGTGAGCGTCAACTATTTTCAGTTTCAGTTTTCTAGACAACTGCTTAGAAGAACCCATGGTGCTGATTGTTGGGGCAAGGTCAGATGAGTCTGGGCATTTAAAACCTTTGAGATTGACATCACCTGGCCTTCCAAGACGATGATTGAGAACAATCCATGACACTGGCAGGTCTCAGCTTGGCAAGAGGGGCAGTGCATGCTATAAATTCTGCAGGGTGCCCAAACTTTTGCAGACGCCATTTTTTTTGTTTTCTGTTATTTTGAAAGTGTAAATGATGGAAATAAAATCTAACTTTTGTTAACATATTATAAGAATGTCTAATCTGTAATTTGATGCCTTTTGGAGATTTTTCCATCTTTCCTTGGCTTCTTTATGCACATTAATACAAATTTTTAGCTGGGGTGCCCAAACTTTCGATCCCCACTGTACAAGGCAGCAGGCAAAGGGTAGTCAGGTCACTCGCCAGGTTCGGTAACGGGGGTTCAGATCAGAATAGGGATGTCCAGAAGAGTAGTCAAATGAGCCAGGGGTCAGAGCAGGAGAAGTCAGCAGAGGTCAGGATCGGCAACAAGTCAGATAGGCAGAAGAACAGGAACACAGGGTACAGGGGCTCATGGGAAACAAATACCAAGGCACTGATCACAGGCCTGGTCCTGCTTAAGTACACCTCTCTGCAATCAGCCTCAGGTGATGGCTTGATTGCAGGAGTGAGATTCTGGATGCTGAGAGCACCCACTGGCCAGCCTTGGTACTGCAGCCCACAAGGCAGGTGAGTCCCACCACCATTGGCGAGTCCATTCCTGACAGATACTAAACATGTCAAGACTCAATTTCTGGCATCAGTTGAATGTTGACAAACAACTGTACCTGAAATTGTCCATGGATGACGCTTTAAAAGCCACTGCAGGTCATCAGTTTAGGGTTAATCTGGAATTATGACCCTAAAATCATTGCTCTCACTCCAACGTTCGCAGCAATACCTACACATGCATTTGCTTGTATGCGTAAGTGGACGGGAGGGGGGGGGCGTTGAAAATGTTTACAATTATTTTTATTTTATTTAAATTTATTTTTTTTTCCTCTTTTTTTAATTCTTTCTTTTGCCTTTAATTTTATTGCTATTACAAGGGGACAAAGATGCACCTTTGTGATAGCTTTGGGTAGGCTCAGGGGTGGACTGACCATTTGGAAACTGCCCGAGGCCCCAGGGTCAGTAGGGGGCCCTATGAGATGCCCCTGGTACCTTTTTCATAGGCTTTTAAGAGTTTGGGCAAGGACACGGGCCCCATGATCCCCTATTGCCCGGGGCCCCCCTATGAGTTGTCAGTCTGCCCCTGGGTAGGTGACAGGTCTTCTTTCTTCTATTAGACCCCGATGTCTCCCCTGCCCTCAAATAGCAGCTAACCAAGCACAGATCCTCTGTGGGAAGCTGTCCCAACTGCTTACTATGGTCTCAGACTCCCCAGAGGAACGGGAGAGCCCAGTAACCACTGCAGGAGACAAAGATGGGTTTGGCCATTCACAGAACTGTAAAAAGGCTTTTACAACCACCTGGATCATCTTACAAAGCAGCTGATTGCAAGCTGAAAATCAGTCACGGTCTTGTCCTAACCTCTTGATAGTAGCAAGTTTTTATATATATATACGTGGATTAGCATGTGGTTAAGGGAAACCTCTAGCAGGCAGATTCTATTCTTCATACCCTTGTATAGTGCTTCAGGAGAGGACAGTGTTTTAAAAATCAGTAGAATGTTCCTACATTGTGTTTATATAATCTGAATTCGCCTAGTGAATATGATGAAGCTTCTGTGTTATCGGCATTATAGGAATAAATGTTGGAATCTCCATAGTAATCTTTCTCCATTGATCCCCTCTAGGTCTCTACATTCCCCTTTCATACTATGCTCCGCCTCCTTCTTGACACCAGTCATAATGCTGCTGGGAGATTGCCCCGCAGAGGTGTTGCCAGCATCACAGAGCGCATCAAGCGGGACGAGCGTAGGCAGAGACAGCGAGTTCAGCAGGAAGAGGACGCTGCTCGGGTAATAGACATACACGTTATCATTTCCTGGCTCTCATGATAATTTGGCTTCAGTACAGTCACTGACCTGGAAATATAGAGATAAAAAATTCTGACACTTTAATTGCCCTCATTTACTTCTTCTGGGTCTCTCACCCGGAAATACTAATGTCAGGCGCAGCCAGGAAACAAGTATTTTGTTAGTGGCCAGCATTGGTCACCCCCATGCTGCCCTCATGGCAGTGTCATTTTAAGGCCTCTTGCACAACGTACAGATGTATGAACATCAGACATTCCTGGCAGAATAAATGTGAGGATGGTCTGTATATTACTTGCGTGTATTTGCAAGTATACACACGCAAGAATAAAAATTCTTCTTTATTTCAAGTGTGGCATATGCATGTATACACACAAAAATACTAACTGGCAACACAGATTTTTTTTTTACTGATCTATACACAGCGCATGTTTATGCACTTGTGTGTACAGGCACAGTAAAAACTACAGGATACATTTAGATAAGTAAAAAAAAAGATGTATGCCTGAAAACTGAGTGTTTTCAGGCAGCAGTGTGCGAGAGGCCTTAATCCTAATTTTTAGCTAAAAATCAAAAATGTAAAAGTCAATACAAGGGAATTTACAGTTAGTATGATGCGTTAATTTTGCTGATTCTTCTTTTAGGAGAAATCTTCCTCCATCCTGACCACACCCCCGACTTCACTATGCCATTCCTAATGGAGGACAAGAAGAAGATTGATAGCTCTGCTCCTTCCATTCAGAGATCCTGTGTCATTCATAGAAGCTGTAATATGATTTCCATAAAGGACGGATCGGACAGGAAATTCGTGCATAGTTGAGCTCTCTTGATGAGAGCTCCTGAGAGCCCTTTATTTTTATTACGCCACACTGCACCAAAGATTATAATGGCGGTGGTAGGACAGAGGAAGATTTCCCCTTAAAAAAAGAAGAATCAGCACAAGGGACACATCATACTAACTGTAAATTATGTCCTTTGTTCTGATTTCTATGTTTTTTTTTCTATTTTAGCTAAACTTGGGCTTTAAAGCCTTTTTAATCCCGCCATTTAAAAAAAAATGGCCTACAGCAGCAAACATCTGCACTTACTTTATTTGGATTGTTGTCTTTTGTTTTCCTTTTGTCATCTATGTAATTATCTTTCCAAATTTCCCTTACCTCTGATTACGATTTTAGGGTGGCTCCGTTACTTTGCAGGTTCACCTGTAGTCATCCTTGTCAGTGCTCTCCTGCCCAGGATTGCAGCCTGAGGTAGAGGCAGCTCAGAACACCATGCTCCTCCCAAGCCCCCATACACAGGTTGTTCCCCAGCTTCTCTACCAGGATGATTTCTCATGCACAGGCAATCATCATTCTCTGGGAGTAGGAGTTGGGGAATACTCCAGCTACTCCTCCAAAGATTGATTGGCAGCATGAGCAGAAAAACCTGCCGAAGGCCCATTGCTAGTCACACATGCACAGTGCGATATTGTCACAAAATATGATGGGAATATATATATATATTTTTTTCGATTTTTTTTTTTCGATTTCATTTTTATTATCTGTGGACATATGTATTGTCTTATCCCTCTCATATGACAGGTCTCACAAGTTAAAGGTCAACGCTGGAAAGAGAAGGAAGTGATCAAGTATGAAATCTCCACAGTGCCAGGAGATAAGAAAGGTCAGTAGGCATATATTAAAGTGGAACTTGTATCTAAGGCCTCCTTCACACAGGTGGTAACGCCAGTAGTCCATGAAGGGGCCGTGTGTCTATGTGCTTGAGCCATGCCAGCACAGACAGTCACTTGTCTCAGTTTCACAGGGATGTGGATGAGTGGTCCCCAATGCCTGTCAAATCGGAACAAGCAGCTGTGTCATTGCCCATTCACAAACTACAGGTTTCAGGGCCAGTGTGAATGAAGCCTAAAATGCAAGGGGCACCTTTTTAAGTCCCCACCTCTTCTGAAAAGCAGCATAATCCTATAGTAAACCCTGTAGATGGGGAAAAAAGTTAATATCCTTCCCTTTCCCCCTGCTACTGCCCATGGTGCCTGGGCAAGGGTGACATCATCCTCCTTCAGGCGAGCATCGGGAATGTAGAGTACTTCAAAGGACGCTGAGATGACTCTTCTAGTTGTGCCAATGTACTGTAGCTTCATCTTGTGAGATTTGGAGTACTCGCTATCTCCCAGGATCTCATCGGCAGGAGGATGGTGTCAACCCCTTTACCAAGTGAGCCAGAGGAAAGGTCAGTATAAGAACTTTTATGACGGAAAAAAAACTAACGCATTATAACCCTCAAATTCAAATTATAACACAGCGTAGAACAGTACAAGCAAACAGTAGTAAATTATGAAGTCTCCATCAGTGTCCAAATAGTATTTAAACAATACAGTGTTTACACTCTGAAGGCCCCCTGCGAAAGGGGCAAAACGCGTTGGACAAAACATCCGGTTTCCGGTGATGTTACATCCAGTCTGTGGAAAACATGTGGACCAGTGGCGTTCCCAGGCTGTGTTGGAGCCTCTTTTTCTTAACTCTCATTCAAAGCAAATGCATTTTTTATCTATGTAAGTGCAATTTGATTTCTGGATCTTCATAAATAAGTTACTACACCATGAGAGTTCCCTCTTCCCCTCTGATTTTTACTATTGCATGCGGCACCCTCATTCATCTTTAACTATTCATTCCATATCTTTGAATGATCACGGGCATTCTGAACGAGGTTGAAGACCAGCAACGAGGCATCCCTTACCAGAGAATGCATATTTGACTCTTGTGCTATATACCAGAGGACCCATCTTGTCTGCTGAGTGCGGATAAAGGAGGAGCATAGATCACCAATCGCAGAGTGTCGTTTGAGCACATAGGCATCTTATGATTTGTAAGGGCACTGAGCACTTTATAGAAGACGATCTATCATCAAAATGGAAACAACGTATTGTTTAAATTCCATTTGGACACTGATGGACACTTCATAATTCACTGTTGTTTATTTGTACTGTGTATGCTGTGTTGTAATGTGAATTTGAGGTTTAAGTGGTTTACATTTGAGCATCATCACCAGTATTTATTTATCTGTTAATGATTCACATCATTATTAGCACGTATTAATATTTTTACTTCTAGCGCACGTTTTGTAGGCTAGCAGTTATAACCCTCCCTTGCTGTACCCAACATGAGAAACATTTTTTTTGTCTATAGCTCTGCTTTAAAGAATCCCCAAGACTAAGCATATGCTCACCCTGTCTTGCACTGGGAGAACTGGTGTCACAGCCTCACAGCATTGAGTCAAAACATACCAGCAGAAGATTCATAAAGCTAACCCCTGCACTGAATCCAAAGAACAGACGTATACCGCTCAGGCAAACAATCCAGATCAATCCACGACAGGTGCAGGCTCTGGCTCGCCACCACACACAATGCAACAGGAAGAATGGTCAGCCGCACACCGGAGGATTGATGAATATAGTGTATATTTATAGATCCATGGGACACACAAAAACACCAGGAGATGAATACGGGACCTGTTAACGCTTTCACACGATATTTGTGCTTAATCATAACAAAGAAAACAACAAAAGTGCTGTCTTATATACTGTAGGTATCAGTTAATAAAGAACACCTGTCCTAATCAGCACTCCTGAATCCTGAGGATACACCTATTAATACATTGTAACAAAACATATAAAACCATTGTATCAAAAACAGTGACTTCAGAGAGCAACAAGAAAAGAGAAAGAAAGAAAGAAAGAAGGAAAGAGAAAAAGAATAATGGATAAAAATAATTATGAAAAAATTATAAATGAAAAGTAAAATGAAATAACATACACAAACACAGATAAAAGTTAGTAAATATCCCAAAAAGATATGGGCTAAGAAGCCACATTTGTAAATAATCAAAATTTAAATAATAATATATACAAAAAATGCATGTCTACTTGGGATAAAGTACAAAAACCCTGGTTACTTCTATATTTGCAGTTAATGCTGCCCCGATATAAATGTATTAGTTGTGATTGTCACATTATGTGCTTATCAATATATGGCTATTCATTTTCAGATACAACATGTCCACTGCCTTCCTCCTACAGCCCACGCTATGTAGAAGCTGCCTGGTATGCTTGGTGGGTGAAGCAAGGTTTTTTCAAGCCAGAGTACCAGGTGAGGACACTGAAGGGTTGTCATTTGGTCTGCACCACTCATGGGAAATATTAGACACCCAAATGTGGAATAGGTGTAAATATTGTATAATAAACACATCAGGGTGGATTTGATTTAAATCAAACTGATTTAAATCACGATTTAAATCACTAGTCAGTAAGGCTTGATTTAAATAATAGTTTTCTACATAGACTAATTCTTGCTGGTATAACTTTAATATGCAAGTAGATGAAGATTTTTAGAATAACAACTTTTCATATTAGTTTTTTTTATCCCCAGTTTATTAGGTTAATCATTCATATTTGGACAACTTTTCTGTTGTACTTAGGAAGGAGAAAAATAATCATTACCTTAATAATAACAATTTAAATCGATTTATTCAACTGAAACAATAACATTCCAGCATATGTTATTTGCTGAAACAAACATCCATGTTTGTTAACTAATTTGGCTAAACAAAATATATATATTTTAAGAAACTTAGACTGTCAGCCCCTTCCTCCTTACACTTAGTTTCACTTTCTTCTTGTGCAGATCTATTCCACTCCAAACAATCAGAAAAATATTGTTTCTCTTCTATTCACTGAACTTCTTGAAACTTAGCACTGAAGGGGTTGGTTCTGTATTCATAGGTTTGTAGAAGTTAGGATTAAGGTCTTTTTCTTAACTCTGTTCATGTTATAACATTTTTGCTGTGAAGAAGAGGCATGTGATCTCCGCTGAGTCAAATTCAGTTTTGAGAACTGCAAAAGTAAACCGAGCATCTGTGATAATATCTTGTAGGCAGAGAAACTGCCCAATAATCCTACAAAAACCTCTGGAAGAGCATGACATTGTGAATGGATTAATGGAATTTATTCACCAAAAAAAATAAACATATACAGCCTTATTCTACATAATTAAAAAACTAATCTTTATTTCATGATGGAATAACCTTTGAACCTTTATTTTCCTCAAAAAGCCTTTTATTTAAAAAAATCCGATTTAAATAAAAAAAATCAGATTTTTTTTTTTTTTTTAAAAAAATCATTGATTTTTATCCACCCTGACACACATACATATCTATGTTATTGTAAGTATTACATATTGCTTCTCGATTGAATGATTGATCAAAGTGGACCAACTGCCTTTATGTACAGTACTGTTGGTAACTTTATTGCATTAAAAAGACCCTGCCACCGGATCATTCGTTTTCAACAACAATCTTCCCATATGATTATATGTGCATTTTAACATTTTTTAGCCATGTTATTTACTTGTAAAAGTCTCCCTTGTGTAGAACTTCAAAAGCCCTGAGACAGTTGCAGGGTGTTGCTATTTCCGATGTCATGTCAGCAGCCTCAACAGACCCAGTGTCTTTCTTGTAACACTCTATAGTATCCCCCTTCGCTCCTCCCCTGGCTGCTACATAAAAGGTTGTGCAGGCAGTGGAGGGGCTGAGGAGCTGGGCCAGCAGAGACAGCAATGAGGCACTCTCAGAAGAGGTGAGGGCTATGACATGCAAGGAGGGAGGAGGCTGTGCAATTGTTGGAAGTTGACAGGGTCTCTTTAAAAACAACTATATGTTTCTGAGATGTCCTGGGTTATGGAGTAAGCTGCCCAACCTATCCCAGTGTCAAGCAAAAGTACCGTCATTACATAGATCGGAAGGAAGAAGCCTTAGAGTAGTGACCTCTCTGTGGAGGTCCAACCCACCCTACTGAGTTGGATATATGGCTCTACAATCACCAAAGCATGTGCTCCCCTCTGCTGAGTGCAGCTCTTAAGCTGGCTCAGTAGTGGGTGTGTCAGGCCTCTGTAGAGAGACCACTGCTTCCACACAGAGAGCAAGGGTTCTTCTCTACAGTATGTTGGCAAGAGGCAGGCTTTTCTACTCTAGCTGTGGCTGCTTTATAAAGAAGAAAACCATCTGGAAGACCTATTTTGTTTTAATGTATCAGGAATATATTTAGCTCATTTAGACTGAAAGTTTAATTGGGTAATTAAGTAGGGACATCTTGTTTTAGATGTTGCATTCCCGGTCATGGAATGTTTTTGTCTTTTCAGAGTCGTCTCCCTCAGTCTACACCAGAGGTCTTCTCTCTCTGCATTCCTCCCCCAAATGTCACTGGCTCACTTCACCTTGGACATGCTCTCACTGTGGCGATTGAGGACTCTCTTGTTCGCTGGTGAGTTCACCCATTTAACCCCTTCACGCCTAAGGGTAGTGCAACTTTGACATGTGTTAGCAAAACTGTACATATCATCGTACCTACTTTGTACTTCCAGGTGGATTATACCTTGTTTTTTTCAGGACAAATTGGGCTTTCATTTGGTGGTAAATGGTAATGCATATCTCCTGATTTTTTTTTTTTTTTATTATCAAAGGAAAACTGGCCCAAAATAGTAAAAAAAAAATATATTTTTTTAAATTTAGCTGTGTGTTTCTTGTTATTACCATAACCTACCACCAAAGAACAACCCAAAATAAATTGTGCAGCTCTTGACAATCGCAGCGATGCCATATTTGTGTATGTTATTTGTTGTTTGTACCCACAGTACAGCCCAAAAACAATAGTGCGCATTTTATTTAGGTTTTTTACCTAAAACACACTGACACTGATACCAAAAAAAACTGAAAAAATACTGGGAAAAAAAAAATTCTGAGCTTTTGACCATGACCTTTGACCCTGACCTTGACCCAAACACTAACCCTGGCACTGAACTAGATCAAACCTTGAGCTAGGTTTTTTTTTTTGTTCTTTTATTTTTTAATATTTTATTTATCTTTTTTTTTTTTTTTTTACAAAGTTTTTTTATTTTTTTCTCTCTGCAAGGAGAGAGAGAGAGATACAATGTATCTCTCCCTCCCATTCATAGAGAAAAAAAAAAGAATTGCCTGTAAATTCCAAACCAATGGGTAGTGATACGCATTATGCAATATAAAAAAACATGAACGTCAAGTGTGTTTTCAAAGCTTTGTAAGCAGAGAATTTTTGATGATCAAGTAAACATACATTAACAGAACCCTGGATAGCAGTAAAAACCCACAAAGGCTTCCCTACGCTATCCAAAGACAAAGACTAGGCTTGCCATTTAACACAAGATGAGCAATATAGTGTACTTCACCTATATCCATAGATGTGATCATATTCAAATGGACCAATTGTAAACACTTCAAATGCCAGTGAAAAATACATCCAATTCCCATTATGCACATACCGTTTTATTTTGTTGTGGAATGGATTTGAGTCTTTATATTTCCTTAGCACATATAACTCTTTTTTGGATCTTCTCTTTATCAGGAGGAGAATGCTGGGTCAGAAAGTTCTCTGGGTGCCTGGATCTGATCATGCTGGTATTGCAACACAGGTAAGCTATGATCTGTCATTCTCCAAATCAATATATACTGTATGGCATACCAAAGCACAGTAAGCTCAGCGACGCCGAGTCTTTTAAATGTACACGTTCAGCTTCATTTGGCGGCCTTTTCTGTCTGGTCGCTACACCTGTCACACAATGGTCAGCTATTTTGTGCTCCGTGATTCTGAAACTGCACTTTTAACAGTCTCCACATTGCTGAAGAGGCAGGCACAGCGGCTGGGTAGGGAGCACTGTAATGCTGAGCCAGTGGTTTTACTAGGCTCAGTGTTACTGGGCTGCACAGAAGATGGACTGTGTGTCTGTATCCCTATACCAACGAGTCTAATTCCAGACATCATTGATTCAGGGAACGCTAGTTAATGAAATGAAGAATCTGTTCACCTTACAGACTTTTAGACTTAGTCTGATCATTTTGTCTTCTAGGCCGTGGTTGAGAAGAAACTGTTTAAAGAACAAGGACTTTCCCGACACGATCTCGGCCGAGAGGAATTCCTAAAGGCGGTCTGGAAGTGGAAGGAAGAGTTAGTGGCTGATAATTGTTTTTGTTGTTTTTCTTATTCCCTTTGAAGGTGTTTCTTATTTATTTATAATTTATTTCAGGTACTTATATAGTGCTGTCAATTTACGCAGCGCTTTACATATATATTGTACATTCACATCAGTCCCTAACCCTCAAGGGGCGTACAATCTAAGGTCCCTAACTTACATTCATACATACACATACTAGGGACAATTTTGACAGGATCCAATTAACCCTTTAGATTGTAAGCTCCACGAGCAGGGCCCTCACATTCCTTCTGTACTGAAAATATTGTAATTGTACTGCTCTCCCTTATATTGTAAAGCGCTGCGCAAACTGTTGGCGCTATATAAATCCTGTATAATAATAATAATAACCTACCAACATGTCTTTGAAGTGTGGGAGGAAACCAGAGTACCCAGAGGAAATCCATGCAGGCACAGGGAGAACATGCAAACTCCAGGCAGGTGTGCTGTGGTTGGGATATGAACCAACGACCCTAGTACTGCCAGGCGGAAGTGCTAACCATTTAGCCACTGTTCTTCATGTATATCTAATCCCCAAACTACAAAATATAAAATATTGCAACGTGTTAGTCCTTAGATGTGGTGGCTGCATTGGTTTTCTTTTTTCCCCCCTTTTATGTTCACCTGGTGATCCTGCCAGTAACGCACTTTTGTCCTATGGTGACAACGCACGTACACACGGTACTGTATCTATGGAGGACAGCATCACCGTAGGCTGCTCTCCTGATTAGGACTAAAAGCACCTTCTCTTTATTCCCTTCTCCTAATTCCATTATAGAGGGGAGATGTTTTGTAATTCAAAAGATAGATGGGAAAGCTGAGGTCAGATTTTCAGATTGAAGAATGTCGGGTGGGAGGGTGCTGACAAAGCCACCCATGGCTTGAATTTTTTGCAGTTTGTGGCCTAAAACTGCTAGGAACAGCAGGGAGCCAATTATATGAGCAGGAAATGTTTATTTGTAAGGAAGCCCTATACTCTAGCCATGATGGGTTTTTTTTTTTGTTCCAGTTCCCAAGCAAGCATAATAAAGGTATTTTTTTTTTAGATTAGGATAGAGGAGTTGGGCGGTAGAACCAATCTTAGTTTTTTATTGTTCACTGTGTCCCCGCTAGGAAGATTCATTCTATCAAATTGTCCCAATCACCAATGTCACCGCAAATGAAAGTGAAAAAAATATCCAGAATTTTTGGTTGCCACCAGAACAGAATTCTTCTAATGGGGACATTTGTTCCCATGACAGCTGTCTGAGAGAGGATTTCCCTCACATTGAAAAGATGTTCTCTCACCTCCTGTTGAGTCTGCAGAACAGGAAGTGAAGGGAAATCTTTCTAATGGGACACAAATGGCAAAAGAAAAAAAACTGATAACCTCCCCTATTCTATCCAAAATTTAGAAAAAAAAAAAAGTTTTACCTTTTAGCTATACTTTAAATATTTTTTTTTTTCTTCTAGGAAGGGGGACAGAATTTACCATCAGCTTAAATCTCTTGGTGCTTCACTTGACTGGGACCGAGTTTGCTTTACTATGGATGAGGTACATGCTGAATCCAATAGATTAACCTACTTTTGTTCTTGTCTTTGTTTTTGTGTGTGGATAGAGAACTAGGTTTGACTCTTCTGTTACCTCCTCAGGCCATGTCTTGTTTACTGAATCCTCATATGTAAACTTTTTATAGATAAATTGCGGAGTTGTGTTTAGTGTTTTCCATTTCTGTTACCATTCCTATAATTATTCCCTTTACCGTGCCCATCGTTTTCTCTACCATTTTTTGGGGGATCTGTATTATACCAATTACCCCTTACCTATTCTGAACAATGCCTCCTCTGAAACTACACTCACTCGGATTAAACTGATATTCAACCACAATGCAGCTTGAAGCCACCCCAGAATGTGCATAAGAGGAACCTGAAGACCACCATTGTTATATTAAAGTGGAACTATAGGAAAACTTTTTTTTTTTTTTCCATTTTGGAGTAATGGAGGGTTATAACCCTGTCAGTTTTGTTTTCGCTATCTGTGTCCCATTTTGGAGATCTCCATTTACTTCTTGTCCCAAAGTCAAGTGAGAGAAAAATCCCTGCAAACTAAGGGGATTCATTGGGGACCCCCAGGCTCACCAGAACTGGTGTCCCCAGAGGAAGATTTCCCCTCTATTACTTTTCTGGTGACAACCCAAAAAATGGGATTTTGTTTTTTTTTTTTCATTTTCACTTTCAGTGATAACGGTAAACAGGACAAATAGAGAGGGGGACTCTCCTTAACAATGACACAGAAAGCAGTAAAAACTGACAAGTGTTCCAATCCCTCTCCACTATCCAACACTTAAAAAAAAAGTTTTTGCCTTTTAGTTATACTTTAAAGCTGAACTCTGAGAAAATTTACAGTTATTCCTTGCAGTGGTTTTGTGCCTGTTCTGCAAGACTTAATTGCCTATTTTGTCTAGGGGAGAGGAAAAAAAATACTATTTCTTACCTGATCCTCTGCTTGTCCAGCAGATGGCGCTCCCCTATCTTTTGGTGGGGTACTGTCCCTTGACGTCAACACGTCCAATGCAGGCTTATGGACCCTGCTTTGACCTTGATGACGTCAGGATCCTAGACCACTAGAGCGTGGGGGAGAAGAGGCTGCGGGGATGAGTGGAGTGTCTGGTAAATAAATCTTCTCTTTGTTCCCCTAGACATAAATGAGTAATTAATCCTTGTAGTGCGGGATACCTTTTTAGTTGTCTGAAATTAGGTTTTAAAGTGTAAGTTAAACTCTTGTACAAAAAAAAAAAATAATAATAAATGCACATGATTTTACAGTTAAAAAATGTGCATTTATATGTTTTTTTACACTGAAACCTATGAGCGTTACACCCACTATCCACTGATCAGGCTCCAGCAGATACTCAGTACAGCTGTTTTTGCCTTTGCCTCCTGTACGGAGAGACAGTTACTGAAGCACAGGAAGAGTTCATGAACTACAAGTCGTCTGCTGTGATGGCAAATGGGACTTGATGTTCATTCATTCACAGATCTCTGTGAATGAATGATGCGGCTGTGTGGGCCTTGCTGTTTCAAAATGTGACAACAGTTGAGGAACCTCCAGCTTTGTAACAGGGGGTATGTGGGGGATCGGCTGCTGCACAGTAACGTCCACCCTAAAGACGGGTAACATGTTACAAAAGGTGAACTCATCTTTTAAGCTCTTCAAAGATAACACCAGAATCCAAAAACATGGAAATAAGGAATGTTATGTGCTATATAACGCTTGCATGCTGGTGTGCCCTGTGAAAGGCATTTTTTCCCTTTAATCTTTGATAAAGTGTAACAAAATGACATTGCATTCACATTTTTGTGCAATGCACACCATCACATGTGTACTGTGTTCACAGAGCAAATAGAAAACAATTGTTTTGTATGTACCCTTTTGTTGGTCAATGCAGATTAGCACAGCTCTAGGGACATGGTGTGAACGAGTCCTTTAAGTAGACCTCTTAGCTAACATTTCAGTACACATTTTAAAATACATGCACATGGACTGTTTTTCCTACCAGAAATGTTTAAAATTCATTCAGCTACTTGTGTGATTTACACACCTCTGCCACACTATATGTCTTGGAAGGTAGGAAGGTGACACCCTTTTTTTATTATTATTTCTTAGTTTAGTTTTACAGCTTCCTGTGTCACACAACAGCAGTTTAGATGCTACATATTCATTGCCTCAGTGGTGAGCAAAGCCGGCCGTAGATGGATAAATTTTCGTTTGGTTCAGAAAGGATCCGCCAAGATTAGATCCATCTATGGCCGGGCTGATTGTACCCAAGTGATTCATCGATCAACATGGATATAACCAGCATGTCTGATTTTTAGCATGTGGTTATTGCCAGCGACTATATCTGCTAGCAGTAATCATTGTGTTCTTTTGTCAGGAAGAGCTCCCTGCACCCCCCCCTCCCCGTTTGTGTTGATGGCGAAATCAGATATTTATTTTTCCTGCAACCCGTAGTTGCAGGAAAGAAATTTGCATAATCTATGGCTTTCCAAAATTGCAAGGTTGTGTTAAGCTGGGTATACACTGGGAGTTTTTTTTTTTTTTTGTCCAATGAGTTGAAAAAAAAAAAGACTTGCATATTCCCGCATCCTTGAAAACAATGTGTGTGCAAAATCACTCCTGCTGCACTATTGTATTCTGACAGTTTGACATTGGGGATCTCCCCTTCCCTTCCTCAGTCAGACTGATGGAATGCTGGTTTTCCAGCAGGGCCATTCAACAGAAGCTGGTCAGATGATCAGCTTGTGTTGAACAGAGAGGGGTACACATAAATCAAAATTTTGCTATTCCTGCTGAACTGGATGAAATTCAGTATGTGTATACCCAGCTTTAGTAAACAGCGGTGGCAGAAGTGGGTGAATCACTAGACTGACTGAACAGAATAGCTCATTTTTATCTATTCAGTTGTTGCTAGGATTTTTCTTTAAATAATAATAAACACATGAGACCATTTTAAAATAAAGTATGATTCATTTATTAGTAGATGGAGATCATTGGTGGTGTATTTTATATCAAACTACAGTGCTAAAAACAATAGACCATATTGTCCACATAAACGCTATAGAGTTCATATATAATGATGAATCAACTCCAAAGAGGAAATTCCAGCACCGTCTCCAGTGTCATTAAAGGATCCACACAGCACCACAGTGATCCAGCCAAGCTGCCTACCACACTTATGTAAAAACATGGAAATGTGCATTTGATAACCCACTAAATGGCCATGGTGTCTGGCATGATGATGTCACAGGTCCTATCCTATGCGTTTTGTCACCATCTGACATCATCATCGTGTTTAGTCATTTTAGATTTTCTGTTGTCATTTTCTGGGCTGTAAAGGATTCACGTTAAGCCTGTGTACCCATGGTTGCTAAAACCTGGCTGTTAAATCAGCATCCCTCTAGGCAGTCAGTCACATGTGCTGCAAGAAAATAGTTTTAAATGGCATTACACAATATCTCTGAGCAACGCTTTGCTTCTTGCTAAAAATAAGATATAGTATTACCCAGTGATTATTCGTCACTTAAGTCTTGTTAGTGTTTATATCATATGACTAATTCAGTCCTAAAATAAGATTGGGCCTAAAGTGAACAATAATAGAGGGAAGACCCCAACAAGGAATAGAGGCTGAATTTCAATGGAATGTAACACTTGAACTGCTTCATATTTTTTCTGTTTGTGATTTTTCTTTCCCCGTGTTTAGGGTTTCTCCTGGGCGGTGTCTGAAGCGTTTATTCACCTCTATGAGGATGGTTTAGTCTCTCGTCGACGTCGCCTTGTTAATTGGTCCTGTGCCTTGCGCTCAGCTATTTCTGACATTGAGGTGAGATTATTAGAAATCTGAAACTTGCTTTAGCTTCTGTAAAATGCTGCAAACATCTGTTCTCTCCGTTTTTTTTTTTTTTTGCATTCTTCCTTCTGTTTATCAAATCCTCCTAGCTTTTTTTTTTTTTTTACGTTGTCTCCTGTTTTCCTGTCTTGTTTGCTCCTTTTTCTTTTCTTTCTCTCTCTCTCTCTTTCTCTCCTTAATTTTCCTCCTCTTACATTGCTTTTCTTCCTCTCTCCTCTTTCTTTTCTTGCTCCTTGCACACACTCTCTCCCTATTTATTTTTTATCTTTTTAGCTCCTCCTCTATATCTCTTGTTTCTGTCCTTGCTTCTTTCTTTCCCTCTCCTTTAAATTCTTGCCTTTTCTTTTCCTTCTCCTTTCTGTCTTTTCACATTTTTGTTTTTTTAATTTTGAATAGCATAATGAACATTTTCCTCCTGCAGCCACTAAATGCTGGCAGGAGGAAGAGAAGCTGGCTTTAAGCGGTTGCAGGTGGAAAATGGAGAAGATTGGTTTCTCTATATACCACCCCTTCTGTCCAAGTGTAAAATAGAATGTGACAGGGAGGCCGCATGGGCCCCCTGGTGCATGGGGCGCAGTTGTGATTATGACCCCTGACAGTACACCAGTGGTTAGGGGTGTATGGCTAAAAAAAAAAGTCTCAATTATGGGGCTTTACTGCCCCCCAAACCGCAAACGTAAACGAGCCCTTACTGCCCCCAGCTCCTTCAAAGGCTGCTTTCACACTGATACACTGTGGTTGATCCGCACCACGGGCGCAACACAGAGCACCTGCGGCTTTCCTGCTGGTTAGCTGCACTGAGCCATAGACTTCTATTATAACTTGTGGGTGCCATGCACTTTCTGAAAGCACACCAAAACTCCTGCATTCAGGAGTTTTGGTGCGCTTTCAGGAAAAGCAAACCCACAGGATATAATAGAATTATATGGCTCAGTGCAGCTAACCAGCAGGAAAGCTGCAGGTTCACTGCACTGCACTTGTGGATCAGTGTGAAGGCATCCTAATAGTTGTTAACCATTTTATAGGTGCTATTATGCCCATTGCAAAAGCTCAGTGTATTTATTGTTTAATACACTAACCTTCTTCTTCCAACTTCTGCTGGTATTTGTCACATACCTGGATAGTGAGCCTGATGTGAAGAGGCAGGCTTCCCATACAACTCCGGCTCAAGGACTGCTGTTGGTGAGACAGTGGGGTATGGGTGCCTGTGATCAGTCCAGTAATAGCAGGTGAGCTGATGAGTTGTAGGCAAGTAGCAGGGTTCTGATGTAGCCATGCAGGATGGATGGATACTCAAGCGCAGCATCCTGAGGATGCAGGGTCAGACGAGCCGGGTTCGGTATCAGTCAGGCAGATCAGGCTTACAGCGGCAGGTGGAAGAGTAGTCAGGTCAGAGGCGAGGTCAGCAATGGAAGGTCAATCAAACAGGAGAGGAGACAGAAGAATAATCCAAGACAAGCCACAGGTCAGGGCAGGAAGCAATCAAGCGGAGATCAGGAACAGGCTGGTTCGGTGTCAGGAGACAATCACAGGAATCAGGGAACACGAGCAGAGAAAAGACCATACGGCAATGGCACAACTACTGCAGCCACTTTAAATAGCCCTTTTGGCGCCAGCATTAGTGACAGGCGCGTTGCTGCATGTGTGAGTGTGCATGCACGCACGCCTATGTCCAAGTACCTGCACATCTGTTTGGCTTGTAAGGACTCTGCGCATGCGCATATTTGTGTGCCGCGGAACTTGACCTGCACTATGGGCAGGCCTTCCCTGACAGTATCGCTCTCCAGGCTGCTAGAAAGGTCCCAGAAAAAGTGCACTTGGTATCACACTGCCTGGGACAGGAGCCAGCACTATAGAGGAAGCAATGGCTTATATGGCTCCTGCTCCCTATGTGGCCCCCTACTTCCTCTCCTGCCGGCGCCAGCTCCATACACTCTGATGTTCTGGAATGAGGGGTTGGCAAGTCCAAATCGTGATTGATGGGTTGCTGACCCTGGATATGTGCTTTCCTGGATTGAGGTTGCTGGCCACATCAGAGGGCTCCATGGGTTGAGCACCTGTGGTTTAGGTATAAAGCCACTAATTATCATCTTGTAGAATCAGCTTCTTGCCTCTTGTTTACTTGGTACAGCACCTCGCTATTGTGTAGAAGATTCTCAGTTGTGTTGTACAGCATTCATCATACTCTATGTTCTCTGGTCACAGGTGGAGAACAGACAGCTGACCAGTAAAACCTACCTTACTGTGCCTGGATATGAAAAGAAAGTTCCTTTTGGGCTTCTGTTCAGGTTTGCTTATCCCACAGAAGGTGGAGGTAAGATTTTTTAACAAGTTTTACTGCCTTTTGTTAAATTATTTACTTGCTATTACACCTCCTCTTACTTTTCCATTCACATGCTCTTTCTAGAAGATGAAATCACAGTGGCCACCACACGTCCGGAAACCATGCTGGGTGACACTGCTGTAGCTGTCAATCCCAATGACAAAAGATACCAGGTCAGCTTCCTGCTTTATATTAAGTTAATGTGGACCTGTACTCAAAAAGTTTATTGTAAGGAACATCTAGAAATGTTAATTTTGCATAAGAAATATTGTGAATAATATACTTTTTCTTGGAATACTCCTGAAAAACATTGAAACAAATATTCACTCGAAGAGGTGCTTAAGAGAGCATATGAGCGCAATATACAAATTTTTAAAGGGGGACTATATCGTGTGGAGAAAACTATAAAATCTTAGGGCTGTAAAGGAGATACATGGCCACACAGTGAAGTTGGACAAGCAACGGTTCATTCTTAAAGCGGTATAAAACGGAAGCCAAAAATGTAATAAATTGCAGCTTACCAATCATTAGATGTGGTGGCTGCATGGCCAGACCTGCTGATTGGCTGTATCCAATCACAGCCCAGAGCCCTGTGTTGGCAAACACCACAGAGCTCTGCACAGAGGGATTTTTAGTAAAAAGCAGCACATATTACACAAATCAACACCCCAAGGTGTTAACCCCTTCCCAACCAGTGTCATTACTACAGGGACAGTGTATAGTATTTTTACTGATCACTGTGTCACCGTTGACCTCACTGTCAGTTTCAGATTGCCCACTGCACTATCAGTCTCACTGTAAGTCGCTGATCATTGCCATTACTAGTAAAAAAAAAATAAATAAAAATTCCAGTATACCATAGATTGTAGATACTGCTGTATAACTTTCACACAAACCAATTAATATAAACTTATTGTGGGTTTTTTTTTTTTACTAAAGACACATAGCAAAATACATAGAAATGTGATTTTTTTTTTTTTTTTTTTTTTTTTTTTATTGGATGTGTTTTATAGCAGAAAGTAAAAAAAAATATATATTTTTTAAAATTTTTGATTTTTTTTTATTTACATAATACAAAAATCCACCAAATACCACCAAAAGAAAGCTGTATTTGTGTGAAAAAATTATATAAATTTAATTTGGATACAGCGTTGCATGACTGTGCAATTACCAGTTAAAGTAATGCAGTTCTAATTAACAAAAAATGGCCTGGCCATGAAGGGGGTAAAAACTTCTGGAGCTCAAGTAGATAAATTCACTAGCAGATTTAGATACACTAACACATTGAAACTGAGCTCCAGCTAAGGCACCAGCTAAGTCCTGGTTCACACCAGTGCAGCTTTGAAATCGTGCTACTTTGTGCAACGTCAAAGCTGACTATTCAGTGGGACTTCGTTGTGGCTTACTGACACTCTTTGTGTGATTTCATTTAACAGCGGTCAATGCAAGTTGCAATGCACAAAAATAGCGCAGGAGCCTTTTTCAAAGTTGCTGCAACTTGAGTCTCACCGATTTGAACGGTTCCATTGCTGCTAATGGGATGCGACTTGTCTTGCAAATTTGAACTTTCAAGTCATATGACAAGTTGCACTGGTGTGCACCAGGACTAATACTTTATAAGCTGTTACAACAAACAGTTTTTTGTTTTCTTTGGGGGATAAAGGTTTTAGATAAATAAAAGCTGATCACTGTAAACACCCCTGTCAGTGGTAAATGGTTAGTCTCTGTAACTGATAAATCTGTAGAACAGCTTGTTTTGTAAAACAGACTTACTGGACAGATCACAAGGGGAAGATAAAGGAAAGAAAGCCTTAAAAAAACATAACAAATGCAGCCACCACTTCTAAGAATTGGTATGCTGCAGTATAATGTTTTCTTTTGGGTTCAATACCACTTTAAACTGCTTAAGGGGATCTTTACTCTGAGAGTATTAGGGACGTGGAATTCCCCTCCCCAGTTGGTGGTGGTACAGGAGAGTTTAAATAATTCAAAAAACTTTTAGATGTGTTTCTTAGCGAGCACAGTATATAGGGGGGTAAAAGAATGGATTGTGTTGCTCATATGTTCCTGCTTTGGAGCTTTGGGTTTCACTAGGTTCAGAGCCGCAGTGACGCACTCTGATTACTAGGGGAGTTTTTATGTTATTGGTAATTATTTACCTCTTATATCTGTGTAACATCCTCCACAGATCCCTAAGCTCTCTATGCAGTAAAACACGCTTTGTATGATAAGTTGTATCAACAGTCTATGTTACATTTTTTAGCTTTATTAATCATCTTCACAGAAATTCCATGGAAAGAATCTCTTTCATCCTTTCACTGGACGTTTAATTCCTGTTGTCACCCACGACCTGGTCAAGCCCGAGTTTGGCACAGGTCAGTATCATGTCACCTGGTTTTTGTCATTAGTAATAAGTGATCTCCACTAAGCACTATGCATTGTAGTCAAGTGTTCTCTGGTTAGAATCCGTTTATCCCAATCCTGAATGTGATGGACCATCTGGCACCCCGCATGGGTCCTTCCGTCAGAGAACTGCATCCTTGCTGCTGGGACACAGGACCAAGGTAATATAGCTGGGCATTGCACCCAAGAACTAGCCGACCTTAGCTTAGGTGCAACTGGAACCCTTTATTAAACAGAAATACAGGTTTTTATACACTTCAAAAATAGGGGCAGTCCCCACATGAACAATACAAACAAATGTTACACATTGGGATAAACATCCCACACTGGTTAGGTAATGTTGACACAAGACTAATCCCATCATGTATGAACCTCCAGGAGGACTAGCCAAGAGACAGAAACAATAGGTGACTCAATTACCAATGGGACAAAGACACAGCAGACACATAACACCTTAATAAACAGATTACAGCAAGAGATTTCAGCATCAAATTGTTGTGAACTGATTATATTAACCTCTGCTCTGAGTTTAGGAATAGGGTTGAAGCAGTCAATGCTGGTTTGTGCGCAGAGACCGCAAATCTGTATCCTGGTCCTCCAGTTCTCAGAGTCTGCGTGTTTCAGAGAGAGATGGACTTGAATCTGAAGTAAAACTACTCCAAAGGTCCCCCCGGGCACTCCCCTCCCTAAGAATAGAGCCCCCACGGGTGCCAGGGTGCATGGTCAGTAGGCAAGAGGCTAGCCTGCCGTCCCCTCCAAAAGCCCCTGTCCTGGTTGGGTCTGTCACACTGAATTTGTATGTCAGTAGTTTCACACTCCTGCTCTTTATCTCCTTTTTGTAGCTGTCAGGACTAGGGAAAATAAAAATTGTATGCAGCTGTTTGCTTATGAACGGCACAGACGTGTCTTTTGATGTGTATTTCAGGAGCTGTAAAGGTCACCCCTGCCCACAGCCAGGTGGATTTTGAGATAGCCAAGGATCTTGCATTGCCCTTCGTTTCTGTGATCGGGGAAGATGGGACTATGACACAAGCCAGCGGAGACTGGATCCAGGTTAAAGATTTTTTGATAATTTTAGGTTGCAAGCTACTGTTGTCGTTTCTGTGTTCTGTTTGTTGCCCTAAGCCACACATGAGGCTGTCTGATTGTATAATCTACTTTAGATCTAAAAATAACTACTGTATGTAGTATGATCTATTTCAGGGGTTTCCAAACTTTCTAAACAAAGTGCCTGTTTACTGTCCTTCAGACTTTAGGGGGGCTGGACTGTGGCCAGTGGGGGTAGAAATTGTCCTGCCATCAGTGGGAGTAAACGGTGCCCCATCATTGATATTGGAGGAGGAATAATGCCCAATCTTTGATATTAGGGGGAGGAATAGTGCCATCATCTTTGATTATTAGGGGGAGGAATAGTGCCATCATCTTTGATATCAGAGGGAGGAATAGTGCCCCATTTTTGATATTAGAGGGAGGAATAATGCCCCATTTTTTATATTAGGGGGAGGAATAGTACCATCATCTTTAACATTAGGGGGAGGAATAGTGCCCCATCTTTGATATCAGAGGGAGGAATAGTGCCCCATTTTTGATATCAGAGGGAGGAATAGTGCCCCATCTTTGATATCAGAGGGAGGAATAGTGCCCCATTTTTGACATTAGAGGGAGGAATAATGCCCCATTTTTTATATTATGGGGAGGAATAGTACCATCATCTTTAACATTAGGGGGAGGAATAGTGCCCCATCTTTGATATTAGGGGGAGGAATAGTGCCCCATCTTTGATATCAGAGGGAGGAATAGTGCCCCATTTTTGATATTAGAGGGAGGAATAATGCCCCATCTTTGATATTAGAGGGAGGAATAGTGCCCCATTTGTGGTGTCAGTAGATGGAATTTTGCCCCATTTGTGGTGTTAGTGGTTAGTGGAAGAGTGTCTTGTATTAGTGGGAATAGTGGGAAAATTAGTGCCCCAAGGGCTGGATAAAAGCAAGCAGAGGACTGCAGTTTGGAGACCACTGATCTATTCTATTGCTACATTCTACATATACAGTATACATGCTGATTAGCAAGTCTAAGGGAGATTGTACATTCAAACTGTAACTTGTGTGGCCAGGTTTACATTACATCTTGCATCATCATCAATATGTTTTGTCTGTCAGGGGGTGAAAAGATTTGATGCTCGAGAGAAGATTGTGGCTGCACTAAAAGAAAAGAAGCTATATAGAGGGGAGAGCGAACACTCCATGGTTCTTCCTGTCTGCAGGTAGGAGTGTCCCTAATCTACTCCTCTTCTGGGGCTAGTGTAGAAGAACACATTTCACCCTGTGGTACTAATGGAAATATTTCATTTTATATAGTAAAATACAATGTAGGGTGTCTAGTAATGATATTACATTTCAAGTACAGAGTTACAGTGTAAGTATAGACACATTTGGGTTTTTTTTTTTTTTTTTTTTTTAGTATTGGGTAGATGGGAAAAAAAGGGTTGGAACCCCTGTCAAGTTCTTATACTGTAGGTGTCTGTGTTCTCAGTAGGTAGAATCAACTCCTTTTTTGTCCTGTGAACATTATCACTGAATCAGAAAGTGATGGCAATTCCAAACTACTAATGTTGTTACCAGGGGCGGACTGACCATTTCGAAACTCGGGCACTGCCCGAGGGCCAGGGGTCAGTAGGGGGCCCCATGAGATGCCCCTGGTACCTTTTTCATAGGCTTTTTTGAGTTTGGGCAATGACACAGGGGCCCCATAATCCCCTATTGCCCGGGGTCCCCATGAGTTGTCAGTCCGCCCCTGGTTGTTACCAGAACAACAGGTAAGGGTAAACCTTCTAGTGGGGACAGCTGTCTTAAGGCCCATATACACGAGAAAATTGTATGAACATGTCTGCACAAGGAACAATCGGTTAATTATTTGATCGTTAGTATAGTGCTTTCAACAGCTGATTCCGACTGTTCGGACGACAAAAAACTGAAGGTGCAAGTTAGAAATTTTTTTATAGTACGCAAACACGACGTCGGATTTTCACTCAATGTGTACAGTAATCGTACAGAAATAATCAAATAGTAAAAAAACACGTATGTTCAGAAGCAAAAAACAACCCTACACTTCCTGTTCTACGTAGCTATGTTTGCCTTTGTCGGTCGAGAAGTTTTGTATAAGTTAATGAATAGATAAATAGTTCTGTGCTGCTCACTAAACCTAAAGGGATGAATAATAATAAACGGTAAAAAAAACTGTGCTAAAATGTGTGAAAAGTGATAAATATCACTAATAAACAAATAATGACTGTGTATAAACACAAAAACAAAATGCTGCCACTTTAAAAATTAATTATTAAAACACATGAAAAAACACTCAACAAGTGATCAAGTAGCGCAAAAATCTTATATGTGATAAAAATATAAAAAATTATAAAAATGAATGAATAAAATAAAGTGTATATATTATTATTTGGACTTTTTTGGGGACTATACACTTTATTTTATTTTATTCATTCATTTTTATAATTTTTTAATATTATTTTCACATATAAGATTTGATTTATGCGCTACACGATCACTTGTTGAGTGTTTTTTTTTTCATGTGTTTTACTCACTAAACCTAACCATAAAGCAAAAAGTAAACATCTGACAGAGCCCCTAACTAAGGTGACATAAGTGCATACCTAGAGAATAGCCAAACCCAAGTGAATGAAAATATCCAAACAGACTAGACTGCTAGGGAATACCAAATATGAACAAATCAATAAGTGAAGCTTCAACACGTGCAAATAGACAATCTGAGTGATATATATCAAGGCAAAAATAATGATATAACAAAGCATACAAAATAAAAGAAAAAGAAAATGTTGAATAATAAACACCCGGCTGAGCCCTCAACCCAGTGACAGTCTGTGAATCAGGTGTTTACTTTTTGCTTTATGGTTAGGTTTGAGTAGCGCAGCGCTATTTATCTATTATTTTATTTTTTAGTGTTGTGGGGACGCAATTTGGTGTTTGCAGCTTTTCTTAATTTATCATATTAGCTTTGGCAGCGCAAGAGGATTTTTTCTTTATTTATTGTACAAGTTAATCATGATGTCGGCTACATCATGATATGCAGCTTCATGGAAAATCAGGCAATTGTTCGTTCCATTTTATCATAGTGTGTACTAGGCAAGGGCTTGAAATGTCTGCTTGCCAATGGCAAGTGTAAATTATGGTGGGGGCGAGTGTGTCCCCCAGGGCCGTCTTGCTGAGCAGGCTCGGAGCTCAGGCCGGATCTGTCATTGGCACTGGGAGCCGTCAGACTGCTCAATAGCTGAGTGCAGTGAAAGCAAAGCAAGGAGTGTGTGCTGTGCTGTCTGCCTACCCCTAGAGTGCAGTACCCGGATCTGTGAGTGAACAACGAAGTACTGCAACTTTTTATGGGTGTGTGTGTGTGTACATGTACATTTGTGTGTCTGTGTATGCATGTACAATTGTACATGTGTCTGTGTGTATGTACATGTGTGTATCTGTACGTGTCTGCGTGTATGTACATGTGTGTATCTGTACGTGTCTGCGTGTATGTACATGTGTGTATGTACGTGTGTGTGTGTGTATATGTGTCTGTGTGTGCATGTACATGTGTCTGTGTATGTACATGTGTGTATCTGTACGTGTCTGCGTGTATGTACATGTATGTGTGTGTGTATATGTGTCTGTGTGTGCATGTACATGTGTCTGTGTGTATGTATGTACATGTGTCTGTGCGTGTGTATTTCTGTGTATGTACATGTATCTGTGTGTATGCGTGTCTGTACGTGCCTGTGTGTGTACATGTGTCTCTGTGCGTGTGTGTACGTTTCTGTGTGTGTGTGTACATGTCTGTGTGTGTGTACATGTGTCTCTGTGTGTGTGTGTGTGTACATGTTTCTGTGTGTATGTACATGTCTGTGTGTGTGTACAGGTGTCTCTGTTTGTGTGTGTTTGTTGGTTGCGAGTAACTCTAAGGCCTGGCTAGTAGCTCAGGACTTGAAATTTTAAGCCCTGTACTAGGCATTAGACTAACTTCACACTAGTGACAGATTGGTGATCCTTTTGCTGGTGAGAACTTTCCAGTGGCAGGATCGCCTTGAAAAACGCATGTGGGCAGTAGAACACTCACCTCTTTGCATGTGGCTCTCTCTTGCCCCCGGACAAGCAAGGTATTACTTTCTTGCTGTCAGCGTACACTTTGAAGAGTTTTCAGCAGCAAGGCAGTGATGCCTCTGTGCCAAAGCCTACGAGTGAGCGGCACATTGAAGGCAGATAAGGGTTCTTCCTGCCTTTTTAGCAATCCTGTAGCTTGAAAATTCTAACCTGTGTCAGTGTAAAATTAGCCTAAAAAGAATGCTGACACATTTTTGGTTACTACACTTCCAATCCAGAACCTCCTATAATGGGTGGTCTGTCTGCACATGAACCAACTTAGAATCCGATCATGTAAAAAGTTACAAAAGTCGAGCCTTTCCCCATAAACAGTCACAGCAAATTTTGCAGTGTGCAGATTCAGCTATGGAGTTTGTAGTTTGCTTTGTTCATAAACAAGTTTGTAAACACAAAAACTGAATTGCCTTAAAAATTCCTCTTTGTTTAGTTTTACTTGTACAACAGCAAGCTTTTTACTGGGTGGGTGATACATGCGTGGATATTCTTGTTGATCCTGCCACCACCTGCCTCTTCCTGAGAATGAGTGCAATGCTGATTGATGTGATAGCCCATCATTCACGCCAACATTCTGACTACAGAACACCAAGCGGACACACAGAGCACCTGTAGTCAGTGCTCAGCTTGCCCATCAGCTATGGCCAGATCTCCTGCTCCTCCCTGTAATCCTTGATGAATGGGAGTTCCTTAACAGTATACTCATACATCAGCAAATGGGCATGAGAGTTGGAGAATGCAGTGACTTTGGACAAATTTGTTTACTGTCATTTAATGAACTTTCTGTTACTCAAATGGAACTTCACACACACAGAAGCATAAAAACTCCAAAATAATATAATGTGCTTAATGCCCTTGTAGGTCATATGACCTGTTCGTGTGTGTTTGTGCGCATGCATGGATAGGCCCCAGAGTGTAAAAACACCATAATTCTGCTAATTGACCCCTATTTACAATATTAAGTAATGAATATTATTTTCTGTGTGATTGTACAAGTAGGTTTTTATATTAAAGGGACACAAAAGCTTTTTTTTTTTTTTTTTCTTAAAAATAACAAACATGTCCATACTTACCTGATCTGTGCAGTGGTTTTGCACAGAGCAGCCCTGTTCCTTTTCTTTTCAGGTCTCTGCTGGCGCTTCTAGCTCCCCCACTCAAGCAGTGCCCCCAGGGAAAGCTGCTCACCTTGGGGGCACCGCTGCGTGCTCAGCCCCGAGCCTCTGCTCTGAGTCCATAAGACACATAGAGCCACGGCTCAGCCCTGCTCCCTACTCTTTCCCCATTGGCTTACTGGCTGTGATTGACAGCAGCGGGAGCCAAAGAGCTCCTGCTGCTGTCTCAGCCAATGAGGAGGAAGAGTCCCCAGACAGCAGAGGCTGTCGAACATCACTGGATCGGAGGGGGCTCAGGTAAGGATTGGGGGTGGGCTGCAGGAGCCACTGCACACAGAGGGGTTTTTGCCTTCATGCATAGAATACATGAAGGTAAAAAACCTTCAGCCTTTAGAATCACTTTAACTCCTTTCTGCATGGCTCTGTGTGTTCGTCTATGGACAGGACAGACTGCCCGATCATGTGACCACCCCTCTCTGTCCTTCTTCACATACATTATAGATTGTGCACTCTGCAAGTACAGTTGCTCCAGAGCTTAGTAAATGTGGTAAGTTTTCATTTTACAAAGAATACCCAATTACATGTGAGGAAAATAACAGCATTTTTGCTTGCACATGATTGGATGATGGAAGTCAGCAGAACTCCTTTATTAAGCTCTGGAGCAACTGCAAAGCACACAGTCTATTTGCCTTTAGTAAATCAACCCCTTTTATTTCTTTACAGAAAAGCAATGCTGCTGCATTGAATCCCAAGAATCTGCCCACACACTGTGTATGCAAAGAGCTTTTGGGAGATGTAGTTCTGGGAATGTATACCCATGCAAACTTTTACAAGCCTGTTGATGATATCACAAGATGTTTTAAAAGCTGTTTCTTGCTACAGGACAAATAAGAAAAAAAAAGCCTGAAAATGATTTTAAAGGAAGGTTTGAGGTTAGGTCATACCTATATAAATCTTTCAGTTGGCATTTTTTTATATCTGCCTGATGGTTTATCTTTCTATCTCTACCTTTCTTTTCCTGTGTTTTGGTAGCCGTTCCGGTGATGTGATTGAGCATTTATTGAAGAACCAGTGGTTTGTGAACTGTGAGAAGATGGCACAAAGGGCCATAAAGGTAAGTTGGGTTAAAGTGGTTCTAAAGGCTCTGTGGTTTTTTTTACCTTAAAGCGGTTGTCAGAGCAGAAGGTTATTTTAACTTACTGCATTCTGCAGTCCCCTAAATACATACCTGAGCCCGATCTCAGGCTAGCTATATGCATGAGAGCGGAGGCTCTCTCTGCTCTTTCAGCTCTCTCCCTACTCATTGGCTCAGATTCAGCAGCAGGAACCATTGGCTCCTGCTGCTATCAATAAAAATGTTGTGAGGAAGGGGCGGGGCCAGCTGCACTGTGTGTGTCTATGGACACAGGCTGTGTGGCTCAGGCACAAGCCCAGATTTGTGCCACATAAAGAAGAGCAGCCTGGATCGCCAGCTGGGGACCCAGAAGAGGTGTTTTGGGGCTACTCTGTGCAAAACCATTGCAGGTAAGTATAACATTTTTGTTATAAAAAAATAAATTCTAGACTTTACAATTACTTTAAATTGCAAGCTTGTACTGTGTGACTCTCTGTGTATGTTGCTTCTCACGTGTTCTGTCTGCTCTTTATTTTTTCCAGGCTGTTGACTCAGGACAGTTACAAATCATTCCTTCTTATCACCAGAAGAACTGGAGGAATTGGCTTTCAAATATCAGGTGGAAATTGAGTGTGTTTCACATGTTTTCACACAGTTTTACGAACACTTCTCTGTTGGGAAGGCTCATTTTTCATGCATTGGATTTCTCATTCTTAAAGCAGAACTCGGTTTCCACCATTTATTAAAGATAAATAACCCAGCACAGTTAAATAAATAAATACACAAACTTTTGCTGCTGTACTTAGGTTAAAGTGATTCAGAAGGTTCCTTTTTTATTTTTTAAAATAACAAACATATTATACTTACCTGCTCTGTGTAATTGTTTTGAACAGAGCAGCTCTGATCCTCCACTTCTGAGGTCCCCTGCAGGCGATTTTGGCTCCTCCTGCCTTCTAAGTACCCCCATAGCAAGCCCCTTGTAATGGGAGCACTTATGCGGGACCAAACCCTAGTCAAACTGTGTGCATGCATATTGACACAAACCGTGCCATTAGCTCCCACTGCTCTCACTCAGTCCAGTGAGAAGGGAGGGAGAGAGAGAGCAGCCCCTCTCCTCTCAGGCACAGCGCTGGGTCAAGATCTGGTTCAGAGAGTATTTGGGGAGGGGGGGCATTAAGGTTTTCTAAAAAATGCCCTTCTGCCTTTACAACCACCTTAAATTTTGTGCTGTCTGCTGCAAAAAATCCAGTTGCGCTTCACGTTTGGCTTTTATGTCATGATCTATCACCATATCAATTAAAAAAATAAAACGCTTTATACTTACCCCTGGAGTTGACCTTACTCTGCTTTCACTGCACACTGTGAGCCCAACTGATTTCCTTGCTGGAGGACATCCAGCATTATCTAGCACCTTGCTCCTCACTTGTCCCTGGCCCACCCCTTCCATTTATTGGATTTTAGTTCTTGCAATTATGGAGGTTCAGCATTACGTGTGGACACCCACTCCTCGAGACTGACTTCCACCTATCAAAGCATTTTGAGTTTACTTGATTGCAATACATAAGCGTAAAGCTGTATTTAAACTGGTAGTTGTGGTGTCTGCTCTGTAAGATGATGGGAGGAGCTAAAGGAAACTGACAACCGTTTGTGTTGGTTCTCAATTGATCATTGTCTACCACTAGCTCTACTATTGCAATTGTAAGATAGTGCCTTTTGTTTATCATTCAATACATTTTTATTGCATTTTACAATAGCAAAACATGGGATGTAAATGGTCTTGGAGTAATCAAATCCCTGCCAAGTTCTGCATCTAATGGGAAAGCACACAAAATGAAAACCTGAATATTTCACATGTGCGTGTGGGGGGAGGAGTACAAGGAAAGGGTCCAGGTGCAAAAATGGGGGCCAAAACCCCATTAAGGCAGCAGATACCGCAAGTAAGGCCAGGAAATAGAGTCAAATGCCTTTTGGAAGTCTAAAGCAGGTATCTGCCAGGACTTAAACTGGTAAATGAGATGGGGTGGACTTTCGTTTAAAGTATATATCTGGGCAAACCAATCAGTACATCTCTCCAAAACATGCACATTTTCCCATTTTTTTCATCTTTTTAAAACACTGTAAGCACAGAAAAACCTGTTGATCTGCCAGGAATTTAGTGAACCATATGTTATGGAGAGGAGGAGAGCAGAAATTGTTCTGTAGTTTCTAACATACTGTATGTATGACTTTAGGCTGACAACACTGCTCCTCCATAGCTACAGTACAGTAAATAAGTGTTGTCATCCTAGGACAGAAGTGTGTTATTGAAAGTATCAATAGGTGAAAATAAAGGAAAAAAGCCTGAAAAAATGACAGCCAATGTTAGCGCCACGTTCGAGGTTTGGTAAACTGTAATTTGTTCCTTTTTTATAGTTTAGATAAACTTTGAAAAGTGATTGTTCATTTGTTTCCCTTTTTTAAGTGACTGGTGTGTGTCCCGGCAGCTATGGTGGGGACATCAGATTCCTGCTTATCTTGTGACTCTTCCAGAGATGCAGGTAAATGCATTTCAAAATGAAGGCAAATTGAGTTTGAACTGTCTTATTTTCCCAGTGAGTTGCACTTGACGGTACCCTATGGAATAGCCACTGACACGTCTCAGAATTTGACCCTTTAACATGTCCTCTTTTTTCCCTTTTTAGATCACTAGTGAGAATGAAGGTTTCTGGGTACCTGCTCATACTGAGGAGGAAGCTCGAAAAAAAGCCGCTAAGGCCTTGGGAAAGGCGGAGAGTGAGCTCAGCGTGAAAAGAGGTTAGGAGAGAGTTTGCTGTCACTAAACACATCTACAATTTTATGGATGCTTGTCCATTCAGCATTAACTAATCTGTGTAGTATCTTTGCTCCCTTATAGTATATGTAAACAACCATGGTAGTTTATTGAGTTCTACAAGCCGACAGCCACTAGGGCTGCTGGGACTTGTAGTTTCTCATTCACAGAACACAGTGAATGAGTGACTAGGCCGGGCTGGCAAAGCCCAGCACTGCCATGTTTTTTTTACAATTTGACAGATAACGAGGGGGGAAAAGGTTGCCCTGCTAGCTGTCAAAGTGGGGGCATATTTTGAGCTCAGCACTTAGAGGCAGAAAAAAAGCCCTTCTGGTTTGTGGTTTTGCGTTTTCTGGCAGAAAAGAAACACTGAATGTCCCTAAACTCCTGTCCAAAAATGCTTTGTGAGCATTTTTTTTCTGCCAAGGGAACTGGGGTTTTGTAAGCTCAGTGTTCATGGATCCTAAAATAGAAATCAAGGAGAAAACATTTGTGTATAGATATAAAAAAAACATTATAAACATCTTTTTTTCCCCTTTTAGAAATGTGATCACATACCCTCTGTTCTCAGCTTCACATGGATCATAGAGAGCTGGGGAGGAGAAACAGCAGTGAATGGCTGTGCGGGGGGGGGGGGGGGGGGGGGGCAGTGGCATGTGAGCAGAAAGAGAGTCATTGGAGGAATGCACGCTCCTCTAAAAAAACTGACCACGGTGTGCTCTTCTGCTTATTATGGTCAGTTTTTACAAGGAAAGCAGAAGGACGGGCAGGAACACCAGGTATGTCACACAACGGAAGCAATACAACTTTAAGTGTAATTCCACTTTTGCAGAGAAATTGGGATAACATCCACTTTATATTTGTTGCATGTTCTCATTCACATGGTATAACTTAATGATAAAAATCCTGCCTAGCTTTTCCCTTTCTTAACAATGTTAGGAGGGTGCTGAGGAGTTATGTTTACCATAAATAACCCTGTCTGTACTGTGCTGGCAGATCTTTATTATCAGTTGTAAGTTAGAAGTGCACACTGTCCTCACAAAAGGGTTAAAGAGCTCGAAGCTTGGGTTGTATTGCACTTAAATTAAAAAAAAACAAACAAACTGTCCCATAGTCTTTCCCTTAATTGCACATTTGAAGCTATCCTGAATAATCTAAATTACCTGTCCTATGTAAAATCTTGGTCACAAGAACCAGCAAGTAAAGTAAAAAAATATATATATTTTTAATTATTTATAGGTCAGCAGTATAAATAGGAACACATAACAATCATATAGTAGGGATTGCTCAATTTTGTCTGCCAAGTGGAAATTCACTTTAACCTCTTGTTGCCCATGTAACACATATGTGCAGCAACAAACAGGGTGGGCTTTAACTCCTATGCGCTGGCATATTTGTGCCCATGGATGGAAGAGCTTTCTGTGCTGAGAGAGCACTGACTCACTGTATGCTCCCAGCACAGTAATGAAGCTGTCAAAGGCAGCAACTAGTCCGTACTAATGTTTGGGAGTCAGTGGGACTGGTTTCTGATCATGTGACCACTGAGACCACCACATATTCAGGTTCTAACATTTTACTGTTGCAGCATTAGCATAACGTTACCACACTGGGGTTTTTTTTTGTTTTTGTTTTTTTGTCTATACATTGGTATTTTGTCTTTTTTAGGTGCTGGAGTTCAGCATATCTGGACTGTTTCTGTGTCTTCAGTGTCCTGCTGGATATTGCGTTCCGTATTTTTGCTATAACCCAGATGCTGGTGGCTATTATTGTGCAGCACTGGAAGTGCTCTTGTTCCTCTTTCAGCAGTTCGCCCTCACTTGTCAACATGCTGGCTTCACTTTTAAAGCCAGATTTTCAGAGACTGGGTGATTATATCTTCGGGAGCCTAGCAGACAGTTCATGGTTATATACACACAGACTGTTACCATGTGACTATACTAGTAATTACTATACTTGCATTATCTTGCAGATATTCAGTCAGATCACGTCTTCTCTTCAGAATAAAATAAAATAAAACATAGAAAGTAATTGCTTGTTAGTTCAACTGCCTTTGCCTGGTGGTTTTTCTACTGCCACCTGTTGCATGTGTATAAAGCCACCACAAGATGTCCCTATTCCTCCTCCAATGTTTTATTTACTTTGCAGGATGGATCAGATCTGAAGCTGAATTCCTGGGAATTGTAAAACTGACCTTGCAGTGGGGCTTCCCCTGCACTGCAAGGGTTAAATGCTTGTTTTTGTCTAGGGCAGCCATTCTCAACCAGGGTTCCCTAATAAGTTGCTAGGAGCAAGGATTCCTGGAGCTATGGGTAATGATCCCTCTATTTAGTGGTACCTGCATAGTTTCGGGGCCAGTGCCACTTGGCAGAACCAGCTGCATGGCACCAAAAATCTTTTTAGCTGTCTGTAAGGGTAGCATTCTAAGCACCACTGTAAGGGGCATTTATCTACTGACCCCCAATGAATTAGTTTTATCAGGGACTCCCTGAGACCTGAACATTATTACAAGTATTCCTCTGGGGTAAAAAGATTGAGAAAGGATGGTCTAGGGAAACCTTAAAATGACTTACCTTACCTTTACTCTCCTAGCAGCTAACATTCTCAGCCATCTGATACTCCAGGTCAGTCTTTCTCAACCAGGGTTCCTCTAGAGCAGTGGTTCTCAACCTTCCTAATGCCGTGACCCTTTAATACAGTTCCTCATGTTGTGGTGACCCCCAACCATAAAATTATTTACCCAGTAATTATAATTCATGAGTGTTGTTTAACCTCCAATACTGCTGCTGCTTTTAACAGAGTAGCTGCTTTCTACACAGTAGCTGCTCTTTACACATCGGAAATATGTGTTTTCTGATGGTCTTAGGGGACCCCTGTGAAAGGGTCGTTCAACCCCCAAAGGGGTCACGACTCACAGGTTGAGAACCACTGCTCTAGAGGTTTCTAGGGGTTCCTTGAGCTTTGAGCAACTTCTACCTCTCAAATGAGCAACTCCTGAAAACTGTGATCTTTTTAACCATCTATAAGGGGGGATTGTTCCCACTGACCACCAATTTAAGGGGCATCTATCCACTTTGCCCCAATGAATTAGTTTTATCAGGAACTCTATGAGACATGACAAATATTACAAGCATTCCTGTGGGGTAAAGATATTGAGAAAGGCTGGTCTAGGGAAACCTTAAATTACTTTACCTTACACTCACTCTCCTGGCAGCCAACAATCTCAGCAATCTGATGTTTCAGAACAGTCTTTCCCAACCAGGGTTCTGTGCAAACCTTGGGTTCCTCTAGAGGTTGACAGGGATTCCTCGAGCAATGAGCAACATCTACCCCTTAGATGAGTATCCATTGACAACAGTGATCTTTTTAGCCAGCTGTAAGGGGGGATTCTTCCCAATGACCACCAATGTATGGGGCATTCCTACCAGTGATCACTAAGTGATTATTACCAGGGGTTCTTGGAGACCCAGAAGTTACTGTATTTCAAGACTTCTTCCATGTTAAAAAAAAATTTAAAATGACTGCTCCGGGTTATAGGTAGTAAGGCATTGGTATCCTCACAGTGCAGGACTGGTGGTCCTGCATTGACATTGGCGTGTGAAGGATTAGAGCAGGGGGGGGGTGCTCAACCTATGGCCCTCGGAGCCCTCTGTTGTGGCCCTTGACCTCAAACCAGGGAAATTCACTGAATCCTGCAGGTTTGGCACACTTTCTGAAAGCGCACCAAAACTCCTAAATGCAAGAGTTTGGGAGCACTTTCAGAAAGGGCACCACACCTGCAAGATATAATACAAGTCTAAGGCAAAGCGCAGGAAAGCCGCAGGTGCACTGCGCTGCATTGGTGGTGTGGGTAAACTACAGCACATCAGTGTGAAAGCAGCCTTATAGGGAGGCACAAGACAGTAAGGGCTCATTTACATATGCGGTTTGGGGGCATTAAAACTCCATAGTTGAGACATGTTTTTTACCACGCTCCCTCCAACCACTGGTGTAGCGTCAGGGGTCACAATGGTAAACCCCTGCCCCATGCTGCAGAGTGCCCGTGCAGCCTCCCTGTCACATTCTGTTTTACACTTGGACAGGAGGGGCAGTATATACAGGATCTCTATTTTCCCTCTGCAACTGCTGAAAGCCGGCTTCTCCTCCTCTCCCTCCCGCCAGCATTCAGCGGCTGCAGGAGGAAATTTTTCATTATGCTAATTTGGAAAATAAAAAATTTTAAATTCTAAACCATTTCATTTCATTGTGGCCCTCAACTGGTTACCATATCACTTTAGTGGCCCTTCCTCTTCCAAAGGTTGAGCAACCCTGGATTAGAGCAAAAGTGCTTTTTATGGTTTTCCTTTTACAAAAGTGAACATTTATCTATTGCAGTGCAGGGGTAGCCCCACTACAAGGCTAGTTTTTACATTCCCCAGGAGGGCAGGGTTAAAGTATTGACTTTGATATGGTCCATCAAAAGGGAAGAGGTATCTCCTGTGCTAGCTTTGATTCCAGCTCTAGTTTATCCTGTGAACTTGGGCAGTCTCATGGCTACATTTTGGACAAACATTTAAGCAGACCTTTGATTTTTGCTGCTCTTCACCTGTTTAAATAAAAGAACCTCTTTTGTTTCAATTTTATATGGAGCTGGAATTGATTCTCATTTTTCTTAATCATCTTAGATGAAGATGTTCTGGACACTTGGTTTTCATCTGCTCTCTTCCCATTTGCCATGTTGGGATGGCCAGAGAAGGTAAGTACTGTCCCTTGTCCGTGTAGCTTGATTCCTTCATTTCTCCTGGGCTGTCATCAGGTAAACCGTAACAGACATTCACGTGATCTTCCATGTATATAATGAACAAGGCTGCTTTTTCTTCCCTTTTAGTATTTCAAACTAATGCCATGCAAAGAACCTCATCCCAGACACCTAATCTTTACTGACAGAGCTATTAACTAAAGCAAATAGAAAAAGAGTATGTGGTATTAAAAAAAAAAAAAAAAATTAAAAAAAAAAGAGCAACATAGCATCCCAGACAAAACTTTGTTTTTCAGTCTAAAATTGGCCATAGACAGGAACCAGCCGAGATTCGAACCATGTATGGGCAGGCTGAATGTACCCAAGTTGTACAAAAATAAAGAATTTACAAAAAAAAGAATGTACCCAAGTTGATTGATCAATCAACTTGGGTACAACCAGCCTGCTGGATTTTACATGTGATTATTGCCATCGGCAATTATAGCTGCTAGCAGTAATCACTGTGTTGTCCCAGCGGGGACGGCTTCCCTTTTCCCCTTCACCAGGAGAACATAATAGCGCTGCAGGAGGCAACCTGTGGTTGCACGAAAGAAAATTGTGCTCCACGTAAACCAGTATTTCTTCACCACTCTCTTAGCCCGTTGAGACCACAGAAGACCATCAACAATAGAAAAAGGTCTTATAGTGTAGTCATTTTATTACAAATTCACAGCTATAAAGATAATGGGCATGTGCAAACCAATGCAATTTCAGCTTGATTGCAGATGGACTATTTGAGGTGAGGGAGTTGAACCCTTTGTTTGCTCCTGATGATGCGCGTTGGTGCAAAACAGCTGTAGAGAGATTGTATTCTGATATTCCAGAGGTCCCGCCGCCACTCTCCTGTGAGTTTGGCGGCTAAGCATGAATGTGAATTCCTTTTGGTTGGTTATTTTAACACATGTCCATTATGTTTATGGCTGTGAATTTTTAATAAAATGACTACACTATAAGACCTTTTTCTATTGTTGATGGTCTTCTGTGGCCTCAACGGGCTAAGAGAGTGGTGAAGAGATATCGATTTGCTTGGAACATATTTTCTTGGAGGAGAGCTTCATTGTTTAACAAAGCGCTATTGCTGTTCTATTCATTTAGACAGCAATTGGGTCTGGAGAGTGTGCATTTAATTCAAGGTGGAGGTCAAACACTATTTTTTAATACATGAAGACAAGTCACAGAGGAGAAGACTGTCCTTGAATATTTTGACATTGTTGGACTGTTTATTACTTTTTGATTCACACACTTGTCACGGGTGTTGTTTTTTTCATTTATATTTTACAAGCGCTGAAAACAATTGTATTTTGTATTATTTTGGTGTGTTTTTTTTTTCGTATAAACACTTTTGGCTAGAAGCTAATCACGATCGCTGAGCTTTTGTCTAATTTTATAGGAAAGAAAATCACCTCATCTATGACCATCTTTAGTGTGTGTGTTTGTTATTGCTGTTTGTGGCCCTGTTAAGGATATTCCACCTTCACTTTCAGACCTACTGATAACATTGTCCATCCAATTCAAGATTTCAACACAGATTTAAATGTGATTAACTACTTGAGTCCCAGGCCAATTCTGACATTCCTTTCTTACATGTAAAAAAATCAGCATTTTTTGTTTGCTAGAAAATTATTTTGAACCCCCAAACATTATATATATATATATATATATGTGTGTATATATATGTATATATATATATATATATATATATATATATATGTATATATAGTGAAGGACCTAAGTATTTGATCCCCTGCTGATTTTGAATGTTTGCCCACTCATAAAGAAATGATCAGTCTGAAAATCGAATGGTAACATTGAGCGAGAGAATAGCAACAAAAAATTCAAAAGGAATGCATGTCTAACAAATTATGCACTGATTTGCATGTTTATTAGGGAAATAAGTATTTGATCCCCATCACAAAACATGACTTAGTACTTGGTGGCAAATCCCTTGTTGGCAATCACAGAGGTCAGACGTTTCCTGTAGTTGGCCACCAGGTTTGCACACATCTCAGGAGGGATTTTGGCCCACTCCTCTTGGTAGATCTTCTCCAAGTAATTACGGTTTGGTGGCTGATGTTTGGCAACTCAAACTTTCAGCTCCCTCCACAGATTTTCGATCGGATCAAGGTCTGGAGACTGGCTAGGCCACTCCAGGACCTTAATGTGCTTCTTCTTGAGCCACTCCTTTGTTGCATTGGCCGTGTGTTTTGGGTTATTGTCAAGTTGGAACACCCATCTATGACCCATTTTCAATGCCCTGGCTGAGGGAAGAAAGTTCTCACCCAAGATTTGATGGTACATTGCCCCGTCCATCATCCCTTTGATGTGGTGCAGTTGTCCTGTCCCCTTAGCAGAAAAACACCCCCAAAGCAGAATGTTTCCACCACCATGTTTGACAGATGGGATGGTATTCTTGGGGTCATAGACAGCAAATCTCCCCTCCAAACACGGCAAGTTGAGTTGATCCCAAAGAGCTTGATTTTGGTCTCATCTGACCACAACACTTTCAACCAGTCCTCCTCTGCATCATTCAGATGTTCAATCACAAACTTCAGACGGGCCTGGACATGTGCTTTCTTAAGCAGAGGGACCTTGCAGGCATTGCAGGATTTCAGTCCTTGCTGGCATAGTGTGTTACTAATTGTTTTCTTGGTGTCTGTGGTCCCAGCTGCCTGAAGATCATTGAGATTATCCTCACGTGTAGTTCTGGGATGATTCCTCACTGTTCTCATGATCATTGACACTCCACGAGGTGAGATCTTTCATGGTGCACCACGCCTAGGGAGACTTTCAGTTGTTTCGTGTTTCTTCCATTTGCGAATGATTGCACCAGCTGTTGTCACCTTCTCATCAAGCTGCTTGGCGATAGTTTTGTAGCCCAGTCCAGCCTTGTGTAGGTCTACAATCTAGTCCCTGACATCTTTGGACAGCTCTTTGGTCTTTGCCATGGTGGAGAGTTTTGGAATCTGATTGTTTGATTGCTTCTGTGGACAGGTGTCTTTTATACAGGTAACAAAATGAGATTAGCAGCACTCCTTTAAAAGACTGCTTCTAATCTCAGCTTGTTACCTGTATGAAAGACACCTGGTAGCCAGAAATCCTGCTGAATGATAGGGGATCAAATACTTATTTCCCTCATGAACATGCAAATCAGTGCATAATTTGTTAGACATGCATTTCTTTTGAATTCTTTGTTGCTATTCTGTCTCTCAGTGGTACAATACACCTACCATTCGATTTTTAGACTGATCATTTCTTTGTGAGTGGGCAAACATTCAAAATCAGCAGGGGATCAAATACTTATTTCCTTTACTATATATATATATATATATATATATATATATATATATATTTTTTTTTTTTTTTTTTTAAAAACAGAGGCCCTAGAAAATAAAATGGAGGGTCTTGCAATATTTTGTTTAACACAATATTTGCGCATCGCTTTTTCAAATGCAAATTTTTTTGAGAAAATACCCAATTTGTTTTAAGATATAAAAGATGATGTCACGCTGAACAAATAACTCCCAAACAAGTTGCGCTTTAAAATTGTGCTCGCCCGTGGAATGGCAACAAACTATGGTACATTAAATTATCCATAGGTGACGCTTTAAAAGCCTTTACATGTTACCAGTTTAGAGTTACACAGGAGATCTGGTGCTAGAAATATTGCTCTCGTTTTGACATTTGCGGTAGTAACTCACTTGTGGTGTGATCGCTGTTTCTGCATGTGTGTGTTTGCTTTTGCGTGTGAGAATGGGGAGACCCCAGATCCCTCCTCTGGACTCCAAAGCAGCACATAAAACCAAGATCGGTTTGAACTGCTTATACATAAGCTAGCAATAGCTTGTAAACAAAGGAACCAAAACTAGAAGTGCTGAAATCCTTGTCACTTCCGGTTTCCGATGCCACACAATGGGAGGAACAAACTCAGATCCTCTCACTGTGTTCAGGGAAGTGGACACCACCAGTGACATCCTTACCAGACTCCCCAATTGCTCTGGAGAGCCCAGTAAAGACAGCAGCAGGAGTGGGTCGGACCCCCTTCTGCCACCTGTGAAAGTAATCCAGCAGAATCTTAGCCGCTAGGATTACTTTTACATGGAAGGGAATTGCTGGCTGAAAAAAAAGGTATCTTGGTCATCGTTGCACATGCATTGCTGACTAAGATGTCATACCATGATGTGTACCATTGATTTCCCCCCCAGTACTGATTTTTCATGCCTTCCATGTTGTGTTAATGTGTGGAGGTGTCCATACTGAGAGATGAGCAAGGATTTACTTCTTTAGTTCATAGCTGCCCCCCCTGAGGACTGGTGGGAAGCACAGACCCACAAAATGAAGAGAGATGCTTGCCCTGTAGATCCTCAGGTACATCTTCCCCTTAAGCAAGGAGAACAGTGAGCAACATAATAGTGACACGGCCAAATCGTAGTCACAGGTATACAATGTTTTATATCTCACACTGCTTGCATAGAACTAGGCTACAGAACAGGAGTGCCTAGGAACCCTCAGATGCCAGGGTGTGCACTATTTTACAAGGATTTGAAAACAAAGGGTTCAAGCTACTGCTTCGGTAAAATTAATATTTCTACATATTATCAAAGATAGCAAAACTTCACTTTTTGACTTCAGGTCCATTTTAAACTTTGGTCTTTTCCTTCCACAGACAGGAGACCTGAAAGAATTTTATCCCAACTCTCTACTGGAAACAGGCAGTGATCTGCTTTTCTTCTGGGTGGCCCGGATGGTTATGTTAGGAGAGCAGCTGACAGGGCAGTTACCATTTAAAGAGGTAAGCCATAATAAGGAGCAATTAGTAATAATGTGCATTTCATGGGCCATACAATACCATACACTTTAATTGGCAATCCTGAGTCTTCTTCCTGAAATGCACAGGACGTTGCATTGTGCAGTCAACAAGAAATTCTCTCATGTGACCATGCCCCAAGTAATGCAGCAATTGGAGTTTCATAAAAGGAACGGGTGAAGGTGCAGATCTGTTAATCTGTGCATAAGGACTGAGCGGTGCTTTATTTGGGGGAACATGTGCTGCAGCATGACCAGATGCAGCTTTTCTCTGTGACTGAGCCAGTTGTGCCCGACAGCTTAAAGCAGCATGATGCATTAGGGGACTTCACCTAGTAACCCACCACTCTTTTCTATGCAGGGCAGCATGCACTTGTGACATTATCTTATAAGAAAAGTTTGAAGGATGTTTCCTAATGGATGAATCCTAACAATCATATTCTCTAGTTACAGGAGGTGAATTATGGAAGATAATGTTAAAGTTTTACTTTTTGTAATCACACACACAGAACCAACATCTAAAGCCCTGTACACGTGGGACAAATATCGGTCAGTATCGGCTGGTTCAATAGAAATCCGCCGTCATTTGTCCCGTGTGTACACTAGCCTGTCTGGCTGAAGTCAGCTGAACGGCCGGCTTCTGTCAAACGGGCATGCTGGAAGACCAGCATCTGATTGGCATCCGATCAGTGCTGGCAGCCAATGGCTATGATTGCTGTGTTTTGGTGGGGGCAGTCCCACTGCCAGAATACAATAGCTCAGCATCGGATAGTTAGTACAGCGATCTCCTCCAGAGTTCTTCAGTTTTCTTTTGTTCAGCCCGCTGGGTTGAATAAAAGAAAAAAAAGCCTGATAGTGTGTACCAGACATAACTGCTAGCAGCTTATAAGTTCAGACATAGTTAATGACATCAGTAACATAATCCTTGCCAATAGCCCTGCAGCTGCGTTCACATGGGCGTACTTAAAGTGGTAGTAAGCCCTATCTAGTAAAAAAAGCACGGTCAAGCAGGGTTTTTATAGCAGAAGAGACCCTAGAGGTCTCTTCTGTCATAAATGACCCACCTGCCTATCAGCGGGTAATGTGATCTGAGACACGCATGTGCAGCTCACACGTAATTTACAGCCGCTATGCATGTAACTCCTGTGCACTTGTGTGGGATTGATGTCACCACAGCCTGGCCGTTCAAGTAGCCGAAGATTTGGAACCCGGAAGGAAGAGCGGGTTAACATTGAAGCACCATGGACCAGAGAGAGCCATGACAGCTCAGCGCTGGACAGCTCCATCTGTGTAGGCAAATCTCCCATAAGGTACTAGTATGCAGTGCATACTGGTACAATATGGCTTAAACCTGCAGGGTGGCACATTTTTCTTACTGAGGCTTTACTACCGCTTTAAGTGTACTTCCATGCACAGGTCTGTGTTTGTCCACACAAGATGCACAGGCATGCAGGCAATCCCATTCACGTCTATTGGGGTGCAGCGGCTGCACAGACACGGCCGCTACTCCCAATTTTCCATCCATGTGGTGCGTGTGCATGTTCCCAACTTACACAGTGTGTGTTCGGGGACATGCACCCACAAGGATTTCAAATTGAGAGCAGCAGCTGTTCTGTGCAGCTTCTGCATTCCAATAGACACGAATGGGCATGCCTGGATACACAGAACACCTGTGCATCCCATGTGGGCAAACACTTCCCTGACATGGATGTACGCTTTAATATGCCAGTGTGAACAAGGTCTTATCTTGTTCCTGTGCTTCATACTGTGGAATACAGCATAACACAATATGTCTGTATATGTGTTCAGGTATTTCTGCATTCAATGGTCCGAGATGCTCATGGAAGGAAGATGAGCAAGTCACTGGGAAACGTTCTTGATCCTCTGGATGTGATGACTGGAATAAGTCTAGAGGTACAACGATAACTAAGAGAAACGTTTTCTGACCGTCCCTCCGTCTCCATGTCCTAACTCTTCTCCTGTTTCTTTAGCATTTGAGGGACAAGTTAAAGGAAGGGAATATGGATCCACGGGAGTTTAAAGTGGCAGAAGCTGGACTGGTAAGAAAAGCTGAGTTTCACGTGTAGTAAAATCCTTGTGTGTCTGAAGTGTTTACATGTTTGTTGCTTTTAGAAGATCTATGCGATGGATTTTTTTTTTTTTTTTAGGGAAATAATTATACATAGTAGATCTGCTTCTTTAAAAAAGCAAAAGAAGGAAGCAAAACAAAAGCTGAGATGGCAGCTAGCTGAGCTTTTTATGTTTTGCTTTTCTTTTCTATAAAAATCCTTGTTAGAAATACAAATTGAAATCCAAATTGAAATCCAGCTTGGCACAATGTAAGTACGCACAGCTCATACCTGAGCGGCCGCTGTGGAAGCTGACAGTCGCTGTAGTAGCTGGTGCTACTACAATGATAGCCATGATCTCCTGGGTTCTGTTTAAGAAGCTTTCCCTCTGTACACATCTGATCATCAACACTGCTACCATTCATAGAATACTTTGTAATTAGTTTTTTCTAATAAATACAAGATGTTCTCTCATTAGACGAGGTGTTGAGGAGGAGAGGCAGTAACATCAGGTTCTCCACCTTGTCCAGTTAAGAGAATGCCATTTACTCCTTGAAAAAAAAAATATAAGAAGTTCTGTGAATGACTCCAGTGCTGACCGAGTGATCCATTGTGATCAGTGTGCAGAGGGGAATCTGTTGGCACAGGACCTGGAAGATTGCAGCCATCACTGTAGTAGCCCTGACTACTACAGTAAGTGCCCGCTTCCCCAATGTCCCTCAGATATGAGATATACAGACTTAATATTGGTCAAAAGCAGATCAATGTAACTATGCAATACAGATCATTCCTGGAGTCAAGGTTTAAAGACAGAACTAGTAAAATAGACTTTAAGTCCGTTTGCAGAACAATACTCACTTCAGCTCCAGCAATATGGCTTCCTCAAGCTCCCCGCTCAGCTGTTGACATCTTCGAGCGGCTGTCTTCCGGGTCTTGATTGCCAGCCACTGTCATGGGGGTGGGGATGACGTCAGTCCTGCGCATTAGCAGGAGTTCAGCCAGATTTGGCATTACCAGATTTGTACAGTGAGCTGTGCATACGTGTCTCTCTATACAAGGGCAGACAGGCAGGTAAGTAGTTTTAATGCAGAAGAGACATGTCTTTTCTACACTTGCCCTCCAGAGGATTTACCCCCCTTCCTGACCAGGCCATTTTTTTTGCGTTATGGCTCTGCGTTACTTTAACTGACAATCGCGCGGTCATGCAACGCTGCACCCAAATAAAATGTATGCCCTTTTTTCCCACGAATAGATTTCTTTCGATGGTATTTGATTGCCTGTGTGTTTTTTTATTTTTTGTGCTATAAAAAAAAAAACGACAATTTTGAGAAAAAAAAAAAACAATATTTTTGACTTATTGCTATTAAATATGTCCAGTAAAAAAATTTAAAGAATCAAATTTCGTCATAAATCTAGGCCAAAATGTATTCTCAGGATCCAGTGCTGTCCTTACCCGGGCCGGCTTATTTATCAGTCTTTGGTACCTCCTGGCATCTTAACTGTAGTCAGCCGGCTGTGACTGCTTGCAGCTTCACCTGCGCCTTGTGAATGGTTTCATGGTCTTCTGTGACCTGTGAAATGTCCCATATAACTGCGGTGGGGAGGTGCACTAGGTGAACCGAGCAGAAGTGGGAGCAATTACTTGTCAAAAACAGGTACCTGCCCCCCCACCCCAAAATTATATATATGCCAAACATGACCGAGGAGGGGGGAGGAGGAGAAAACAGCAGAACCTTTTGGGTGAAATTCCACTTTAATAATTATTTCCTGGCCCAAGAGTGGATTCTCAGAGGATCATGGAAATTTTATTGCCTATACAAGGAGAAGACTCTTTATAACAACATGTCTTTTTCTTGCCAGTTAAAAGATTACCCCAATGGGATCCCTGAGTGTGGTACGGATGCCCTCAGATTCGCTCTCTGCTCTCATAGAGTACAAGGTGAGAAGAATCCTCTACAGAACACTCTATGCTTGTCTAAATGTTTGTTAGTAAATTGGACTGATGTACATAGTGACAATTCTTTCCCAATAACAGCTGTAAAGTTAGGCTAAGATGTATGTGAAGAAATACATTGTTTTATTTATTTATTAAAGGCTGCTAGATGGAGCTGAGGATCATAGGGAATAAGTATCTATAGGAAATAAGCTCCATCTAGTGGACATAATATGGTATGTTCCTGATTTACTCTGTTTTTATTTGAATTAATAACATTCAACCTGTAGAGGAAATAGAGGAAGAACATTTGGTGTTACCCCATTCTCAAAGAGCAAATATACCAGCAGTTTCACTGGACGAATAGCTATTATTAGACGGGATTTATATAGCGCCAGCAGTTTACACAGCACTTTACAACATAAGGGCAGACAATACAATTACAATACAAATTAATACAGGAGGATTCAGAGGACCCTGCTTGTTAGAGCTTACAATCTAGGAGGGAGGGTCAAGAGATACAAAGGTTAATAACTGTGGGGGATGGGTTGATGGACAAAATACATGTACAATTGTTAGGTGGGGACAGGATAGGCCTCTTTGAAGAGATGAGTTTTCAGGGATCGTATAAAAGTGGACAGAGTTGGAAATAGCTCGACACATTGGAGATGGGAGTTCCAGAGGGTGGTAGCGGCTCTGGAGAAATCCTGGAGGTGACCATGAGATGAGGTGACAAGGGAGCTAGAGAGCAGGAGGTCTCGGGAGGAATGAAGAGAACGATTTGGTTGGTATTTTGAGACCAGGTTAGTGATGTAACTAGGGGCCGAGTTGTGGATGGCTTTATAAGTTGTTGTAAGTATCTTGATTTTTATTTGTTGGGTGCGTGGAAGCCAGTGGAGGGAATGGCACAGAGGGGTGGCAGACACTGATTGGTTGGTAAGGCAGATGAGTCTGGCAGCAGCATTCATGATGGACTTGAGGGGGGATAGCTTGGGCAAAGGCAAGCCAGTGTGGTGGGAGTTGCAGTAGTCGAAGCTAGAGATGACCAGAGAGTGAGTTAGAAGCTTGGTGGTGTCATTGGTTAGGAAGGGGCGTATCTTGGAGATGTTGCAGAGGTTGAGGCGGCAAGCTTTGGACAGTGATTGGATGTGGGACCGAAAGGACAGTTCAGAGTCCAGGATTACACCAAGCACCCTCGAATGCGGGGACGGGTTGATGTTTGAGCTGTTGATATTGACAGAAAAGTCAGTGGAAGGGGCACGTCGGGGAGGAAATATTATGAGCTCAATTTTGGATAGATTAATTTTCAGGAAGTGGTGTGTCTTTTAGGCTGCTATGGCAGTTAATAGATTAGTGATGCATGAGGAGACTGATGGAATGAGTGTCATCAGCATAGAAATGGTATTGAAAGCCATGGGTGGCGATCAATTGACCTAGAAAAGAGGTGTAGATTGAGAATAGGAGGGTTGCCAGAACAGCCTTGGGGAACCCCAACGAAGAAAGGAAGAGGAGAAGTAGAATTGTAAGTGACACTGAAGGTGCGGTGGGATAGGTATGATGAGAACCAATGAAGAGCACAGTCACGGAGACCAAAGGAGTAGAGTTTTTTGAGGAGGATGGCTGTGTCAAAGGCAGCAGAGAGGTCCAGGAGTAAGACTACAGAATAGTGTCCATTGGTTTTAGCTGTTAGAAGAATATTTCTAAGTTTGAGGAGAGCAATTTCCGTGAAGTGCTGAGAGCGAAATCCAGGCTGAAGGGGATCAGGAAGGTTATTCTCAGTGAGGTGGTTGCTCAGCTGGTTGTAGACCAAGAGTTCGAGGAGTTTGGAGGAAAAGGGTATTAAGGAGATGGGTCGTAGGTTAAGATTGGTGAGGTCTAGTGAGGGCTTTTTAATTATGGGGGTGACTAATGCATATTTTAGAGAATTGGCGAAGATGCTGAAAGCAAGGGAGAGACTGAAGATGTGAGAGAGTGTAGGATAGAGTCAGAGGGTGACCGTAGCATTTGCGATGGAACAGGGTCCAGGGGGCACGTGGTTAGGTGGGTGTTAGAAAAAAGTTTAGCAACCTTGTTTATATTAGTGGGGTTGAAGTAGTGGGGGTATCTGCACATCGGACATCTCCTCATGAATTGTATCAATTTTCTTTTTGAAGTGATTGGCGATCTGGGCAGCGAGTGAGTTAGTGGGTGGAGGCAGTAGAGGATGAAGAAGAGAGTTGAAGGTAGAGAAGAGTTGACAGGGACTGGATGAGAAGGTGTTACTGAGAATGATGAAATAGGTCTGCTTGGCAGTGTGGAGGCAGGAATAGTATTTCTGGAGGGCAGATTTATATTGGTTGAAGTCATTCTGAGACTTAGTCTTATGCCACAGACGCTCAAGAGCGCAGCTATGTTTTTTGAGACCTCTGGTGTCATCTGTTTGCCTAGGTTGTAGGGGTCGGGGCCTGACTGTGTATGTAGTGAGAGGGGTGAGCTTGTCTAGGGAGGATGACAGTGAACTATTGTAGACAGAAGTGGCTAGATCTCGGCAGGACAGGGATGATATGTTGTCTTAGAGGTGGTCAGTAGCAGAGAAGAGAAGGGTTGAGGTGGCAAAGGTTTCTATGGGTAACTGTTAGGTAGTTGGAGGGAGAGGAGGTGGGAGACGGGAGAGAGTGAAGCTAATAAGGTGATGATCAGACAGCATAGCTGTGGAAATTGCTTTTTAAAAATATAACCCTTAGTGTTATTTTGCAGATCATTTAATGCAGTATAGGTAAGAAATGTGAATGAAGCCATCGCAGATGAACGTTTCTCTTTAGTTTTGAACAGAGTGGGAAAAGCAATGGAAATCCAACATTTTGAGTTGTCATTGAACAAAGCAGTGAGGGACAATCCTCCAGTTGTGACATGTTCCTGTGACAACAGTCTATCAGTATTCCAACTGCTGTGGAGAGATTGCCTCTCATTTCCTTGCATCTTCGAGATAATCAAGAAACAAGCAGAAAAAATAACCTGATAGAGGTTTTAACCCTTCTCTGTGCTATCCACAGCCAAATAAAAACTTTTAGCTTTACATGTCTCATAGAAAATGTTTTTGGCATCTTCAGAGATGGTTACTCATCCACTGGACTGTATAGAAGATACATGCTGCCTGCTCATAGCTTCAGTTGATTTCCCCAAAGCTGTGGAAAGCAAAGCTGGGCAGTTTATTGTTTGGTTTCAAACTAAAGGTTAGAAGGTTTAGAAATTGTCTTTATCACACTGCAACTTTTTTTCCCTCTGATTTTGCTTGTTTCCATTTCATATTCCCTTAAGGTGATGATATTAATCTAGATGTTACCTCCGTCCTCGCTGTCCGCCATTTTTGCAATAAAATCTGGAATGGAGTGAAATTTACATTAACAGCACTGGGTGAAGATTTTACTCCACTGCCGATGGATCAGGTATGTCCTTCTACTAAAGTCACATGACATCAAGATATATTATACACCTGCGCTAGGATGAATGTGCATATACACAAGAGCAGCTGCAATCAAAGTGCTGTTACACTCTACATCATCAAAATGAATTTTTACAGCGTTATGTGCTGCAATCAAATGTCATAAATCAATGTGCATAAATAAACCAATTTATGTTTTTTATGCTCAGTAATTTGACATTTGATTGTAGTACATATGTGCTCTGTGACCAAGCCCCCGGTGGGCGGGGCGAAACACGTCAGAAGGCATGTTTAGTACGGCAGCTGAGGCCATTCCTCAACATTGGACTCCTGGGGTTAGTTGAGCAGTGTCCATGAAGAAGATAGTGGTAAACCCAGATACTCCTGCGCTTAGGGATGGACTCTGTATGGATAGGACCACATCATTATTATTATTATTATTATACAGGATTTATGTAATGCCAACAGTTTGCTCAGCACTTTACAATATAATGGGAGACAATACAAGAGGAATAGGAGGGCCCTGCTCCTTAGAGCTTACAATCACATCACGAGTTTCTTGGGATATGCACGTCTTGCTGCCCTCAAAGGACCAGGGAAGTCCACATATACTGAGTAGAGATAAAAACAAACAGAGGGCGCACCAGCCTAGTGCATTACTTTTAAAAATGTATTTATTAATGAAAAAAAGCATGTATTGTACTCACAAAGTGACAATGCAGCCCATAGGTACATCATGAAAGAACCGCTCTGTCCAATTCACACTACGTGTCTGTCCATAATGGGAACTCAGGACCTCCAACAGGCTACGCGTTTCATGAACTAGCCTGAGTTGGCTCTGAGGAAGAGGCTGGTCCTCCAAACGTGTCAGCCTGTTGGAGGTCCTGAGTTCCCATTACGGACAGACACGTAGTGCGAATTGGACAGAGTGGTTCTTTCCCGATTTTACCTTTAACTGCATTGTCATTTTGTGAGTACAATACCTACTTTTCTCATTAATAAATACATTTTTAAAGGTAATGCACTAGGCTGGTGTGCCCTCTGTTTGTTTTTATCTTTGAGCAGTGTCCATTCCTGCACTTGTATAGCACTGTAAAGATTTATTTTGATTACATGACATCAAGGCTCTTCTATCACTATTGGCTAACATTGCACCCTTTCTTTGTTCTAAAGCAAATGTTTTAATATATGATAAATTACTGTCCACAGTACCCAGTAACATTTTGCTATCTTTTCCTTTCTGCTTGTTTGTCGAAGTACTGAATTAAGTGAAATGGCTTTTTTTATTGTTGTGCTGCTCAGACTGAAACTCACACTGAATAGACTTTGAATTATACGCTTTTCATGGTAGCTAAGGCCCCATGCCCCCATTGACCGATGGCTTCTGGATCGTCTGAGGCAAACGACAGAGGAGTGCGAGAAGAAATTCCAGACCTTCGAGATTCATGGAGCTGCTGGGGCCATTCATTCATTCTGGTTGCAGAGCTACTGTGATGTCTATGTGGTGGGTATACCAACACAACTACATTGCGACACCGCAGTGTAACTGTCTAGTTTATTGTGACAGCAATCTGCAGGGAAGTCAGATGCATGACATATAATTAACCACCGGGGAGAATCTTCAAATCTGTTGTCTAAATGAAGTGTTAAGACTAGAGTATTGTAAACATTAAGGCTCCATGTACACAGGACGTTTGGAAAACTCTTTTGAATGATGGAAACTGACTGCTGGAAAACGTAGGTTAAAAAACGACTGTTTAGCCACGTTTCCATGCCACGTTTATGAGCGTTTGTATTTAGAAGCGTTTTTTTTAAGATAACCTCAGGAGACCTTCTCAAATGCCCAGAATGCACTGAAAAACAGTAAAAAATTAACTATTTCAGACATTTTGAGAGAAATAGAGAGAGCAGAAGCAGAGAGATCAGTATGTGTTGAGATTACCTGTCTTTTCTGGTTGTATTCACTATGGATCCCATCATGAGCATAATGCGGCACGTTCTACCATTTTTTCCTTCACACAAAACCTGGAACTAACTGCGCTGGGGTATTTGAATACATGGAAAATGCTTTGCATGCATTTCTGATGATGAAAAAAGGCTCAGAACATCATTTGGATATGGACCAGTTAAAAACGCTTCTAAATGCAAAAGCTTATAAATGCGGTTAGCCGTGTTTACAAGTGTTTGAAACGCTGATAAAATCTACTCCTGAGCGCAAGTTTGGTGCGTTCAAAAAAACGACTGTAAACTCAACTGACTGTAAACGACGATGTATACATGGACACATAGGAAAACATTAGGGAGAGTTCAGGGCTGCTGAAAAAAAACGCAGAAAAGCTCCTGAACGTCAGTTTATCAGCTGCAGTGTACATGAGCCCTAACACTGAACTCCAGGAAAATATATACAGCTAATGTTATTACCTGAAGTTGCATTTACACCCTGTTCCAAATTATTATGCAAATGATATTTTTCTCATTTACCTAAATAATTGATGTAAATAACAGTCAGCATAATTTTCATGTTATCAACTATTAAGAGTACAATTCACATTTTATTGAACAAACCTCCTAATGATAACAGGATTTTTTTTAAACATAAAAAACTTACAATGCACTGTTCCAAATTATTACACACAGTAAGTTTCAAAACACTTTATAGGTTGTAAAGAACTGAAAATTGTCATTTGTTGTGTTTGCAGCATATTTACTGAAATCAAAAGCTATTTCAATCAAACTTTTAACAACATTTTAACTTTTTTAAACATTTTAACAGGTCACGTTACATTTTAACATAGGACCCCTTATTTGATAGCAGCTTCACAAGTCTTGCATCCATTGAACTTATGTGTTTTTTGGACAGTTTCTGCTTGAATTTGTTTGCAAGATGTCAGAATAGCCTGCCAGAGCTGCTGTTTGGATGTAAACTTCCTCCCACCCTCATAGATCTTTTGCTTGAGGATGCTCCAAAGGTTCTCAATAGGATTGAGGTCAGGGGAGGATGGAGGCCACACCATGACTTTCTTTCCTTTTATCCCCATAACAGCCATTGATGCAGAGGTATTATTTGCAGCATGAGATGGTGCATTGTCATGCATGAGATGATTTTATTACGGAAAGCATAGTTCTTCCTTCTGTACCAGGGAAGAAAGTGGTGAGTCATAAACTCCTCATACTTTGCAGAGGTCATCTTTACACCTTCGGGGCCCCTAAAGGGGCCGACCAGCTCTGTTCCCATGATTCCTGCCCAAAACATAACTCCACCACCGCCTTGCTGACATCGCAGCCTTATTGGAACAGGGTGGCCGTCCACCAACCATCCACTACTCTATCCATCTGGACCATCCAGGGTTGCACGGCACTCATCAGTGAACAGGACTGTTTGAAAAATTAGTCTTCATGCATTTTTCTGCCCAATGCAGCCGTTTCTGCTTGTGACCATTGGTTAGTGGTGGCCGAATAGAAGGTTTATGCACAGTTGCAAGACTCCGGAGGACTCTACGCCTTGATGTCTGTGGGACTCCAGAGGCACCAGCAGCTTCAAATATCTGTTTGCTGCCATGTAATGGTAATTTAGCAGCTGCTCTCTTGATCCGATGCATGGATCTGGCAGAAATCTTCCTCAATGTGCCTTTATCTGCACGAACCCGTCTGTGCTCTGAATCAGCCACAAACCTCTTAATAGTGCGATGATCACGCTTAAGTTTTCGTGACATAGCTAATGTTTTCATACCTCGTCCAAGGCATTGAACTATTTCACTCTTTTTGGCAGCAGAGAGATCCTTTTTCTTCCCCATATTGCTTGAAAATGGTGCTCTGCTTAATAATGTGGAACACAATCCTTTAGTAGTTTTTCCTTAAATTGGGCTCACCGGCCAATCTAATTATCACAGGTGTCCGAGATTGTTTTCAGTGATCAAAAGAGCCCTGACACACAATGCCATCCATGAGTTAAACTGAAAAACAAAATATTTCATCTTTGTGACACTTAAATAGAATTTGCATAATAATTTGGAACACTGTGTATATCGGCCTCCTATTATTCCCACACAGCACTTATACTGGGAAAGAAAAGGAGAGCATTGTGAGCCAGATCAGGCTGTACTGCATTGTACTGTTCAGATTAGCTTCCTGAACTGAGGAGAGAGTAGAAGGATGACCTATTTAGTGTGTTGCTGCTTTTCCATTGTCCATTCACAGGCCCTAGACCAGGCTGTATTACATACTGCAGTGTAGTCTTGAGAGAGTTCCAGTACTTGGTTGTGTTGTCTGGCAGAACACCTGGATCACAGTACTGGCTCCAAAGAATTTGCGCTTTGTGCGTGTAGTTAGGCCTAGTTTCAGAGATATTTCAGAAGTGCCATAAATAATTCCTGATGTACACTGGACGTTTTGATAACACTGGTAATGTTAGCTGTGTAAAGTCACGTTAAAAACATGAGTTTTTCAGATTTTTTTTAGCGTTTTTGCATTAACGTTTAGAGGCATTTTTCCGTGTTTGCGTGTGTTCGCGTTTTTTTTTTTTTACCCCCCCTCAAAAAAATTTTTTTTAGGTAAAAAAAAAGTCCAAAACCGCTGGTTTATCGTGTTTTACCGTGTTTTTCAGTGTTAGATCATTTTTACAGCTAAAAAAACTCCTATAGAAACCACCTACTTTTGTTTTTTTTTTCCTGCCAAAAAATGTCCCAGCCAAAAAACACTGATTACAGCCTATGTGTGCATGGACACATAGGATAACATGCTGCGGAGTTTATTGACTGTAAAGTAAAAACCATCAAACGCCAAAAACAGCTGCTGTAAAAACGTCAAGTGTGCATGAGGGCTAAATCTCTGTTAAAACATTGCTATAGAAATCCTTGGTTGATACCCACACATGAGGTCTGTTATCTTCTCCTCCAACACAGGAAGCTGTAAAACCAATTTTGAATGGACCTGGTGCTGCTGATGCCAAACAAGTACTCTACTGGGGAGCAGAGAACATGCTTCGCCTTCTGTCCCCATTTATGCCTTACCTGTCAGAGGAGCTGTGGCAACGTCTTCCAGCTGCTGCTTCGCAAAATGCTCCCAGCGTCTGTGTTGCTGAGTATCCAACACCTAGACACACGGTAAGGGAGGATTTTTACTTGTGTCATGTTACACTCACACATTATTTAGCATGCAGGATCCTAACATGAGACAATATATATGACACTTGGCCAGCTTTAAAGGGCATAAATTACATACCTTAACCTCCTTGGCGGTATGATTCTTTCCGATTTTTTGTGCTGAAAGCGGTACCATTTTTTTGCATGGAAATATGTAGTTTTTTATTGTAGGCTGTAATTTTTAGGAATAACTCCCTGAAATCTATCCGAAAAAGAGTCTATTAAACATTCCGGATATGATAAAACTTGAAACACGAAATCATAAATTATAATTTAATAAATAATCGTAAAAAATAATAATATAATAATAATAAATTTAATTCAATAATATAATCAAACCAAAAACACTAAAATTTGAAATACAGAGGCAAATTCGCACATCGCTGAGCAAAGTCGCAAAATCGTTTTCAGTGTCTGATGACGAATTTCCCCACAAATCATTATCACTCAATTCTGCAAGTGGTTCTGATTTACTATCGCTGTTCTAAAACCGCTTTTGACGTAAAGGGACGCTTTTTGGCCGCCATGGACTTTTCTAAGTTTCCAGGCAGAAAGAACAGTCAAAATGCAGGCAGGGCACAGGACAAAGCAGTGGGGACAAAATGTATGTGAAATGCAGTGAAAAAGCAATGACAGCAAAAATGTCATTTTTAAAAAATTTCAAATTTCCCGCCGGTTCCACCGCCCGAAACGTTCCGACGTCACAGGGACCGGAACACGGAAGCCAGATGCCGGCATCTGCCGAAGGAGATGAACGGGGACGCTGCAGGGGACCCATCGTGGGAGCGAAGGACAAGGTAAGTGCTGCAGGGACCCCCAGAGAACGCTGCATGGTAAGCCCGAGTGTAGCTCGGGGTTACCGTTCTTGGTATAGAAATTCTACCCCGAGCTACACTCGGGAATACCGCCAAGGAGGTTAATGTAATACCAAAAATCTCTAACACACAAGAAAACCTTACCAAACATAGGTTTGTGTTACATAGTTACATAGTTTGTCTGGCTGAAAAAAGACAAAAGTCCATCCAGTTCAACTATACATTTGCAAATACAGGTAAAGCCACACTGCCACATCAGGGCACCTTTACAGTGTGTGGTCCTTAACTCAAAATGATCTGAGCACAACCTGAGAGCAAGTTTGCCTGTATGCATCCCTTGCCCCTTATAGGTACAACCTATAACACACCAGAGGTACAACATCCACACCAAATACAACAATGGCAGTCTTTCAGATCAATTTAAATCTAGTGAAAAAGAAAAGTTGTCCAAGGTTAAAATACACAGTAAAGGATGCTTGATGATTGTGGAGTTACACTGACAACATATTAACCATTTCAATGTCAGGCACTTTCAGCTCCCTCCTGCCCAGGCCAATTTTCAGCTTTCATTGCTGTCGCACTGTACCTATACCAAAATGTTTATCTTTTTTTTTTTTTTTTAAGACAGATAGTGCCTTCTTTTGGTCTTATTTAATCACCACTGGGTTTTTTATTTGTTGCTTAACAAATGGAAAAAAATATGTTTTTCCTAGTTTCTGTTTTAAAATTTTGTCAAATAAGTAATTTTTCTTCTTCACTGATGTGCACTGATGAGGCTGCACTGATGGGCACTGATAGGCGGCACTGATAATCTGCACTGATGGGGCTTTACTGATCATCTGGGCACTGATGATCAGTGTAAACTCTGTACTGACAGCCTAACTAGTTATAAGCTCTTCTTTCCTCACAAAGACACAATGTGTGAGTCTGTTTACATGAGATCCACTGTGATTGGCGCTTTACCACAATTTGTGACTAGCTGTGTCCAAAGTACACAGCGGTCACAGAGTGTGCCCGATGCACTGCCCCAGAGAGCGCATGGGAGGTGAGGTTCTGGGAGAACGTCCATGGATGCCCTCCCAGAAACTGGAGGACCACACTGTAGCCTAGGTAACCCAAGGTTCACACCTAAGCGTTTTCCAGAAACGCAGTACAGTCCATTTAACATAATTTGCTATGGGACAAATTCACATCTGCGCGTTTTCACCCAGTGCATTTTTTTGGAAAGGGTCAGGGACTTTTTTGAACACAAAAATTTGCATTTTTGGTTCTACAGACTTCAATGGTAATGCTGCAGAAAAGCATGTAGTATGTTTTTGCCGTGTTTTTGATGTGTTTTTTGCGTTTTAAATCTGCCTAACAACAAGAAAAAAAAAACGCAATGCAAAACGCAACACAAAACGCAGTGCAGAAACGACTCAAATGCAACCTGGGTGAGCCTTAAAGAGGAACTGAACTTGGAAGCAATGCCCAAAAAAAGCAGACAGATGGCAAAGGGCTAGTCACCAGTATTCCCTGTGGTCTCCCTGCAGCAGCTGATCTTTTCTCCATTACTAACTAGCATGCCTGGTTCTCCAGGTTCTCCACTGTGTCTTGGTGTAGAGGCATCCATCTTGGCAGAGGAAGGGCTTTGCTTCATTGTGTAAGAACCCCCAGCAAGTAGAATAGTGAGCAGCTCAGTAATGACATCACCAAATCTCATGACACTAACAGTCAGAGGCAGCACTGCTTTATTGGCTAACTCCACCTTTAGCAACATGTTACACTTGTATTTGGGCTCACGCAGTCACGTCTTTCATTTACAAGGATCTGTGAATTAAAGAACTACATGCCCCAACTGCCACCACAGCAGACGGAATTGTAGTGCTCAATGTAATTCAAATGCGTAATCGGTGCACTTGTAGTCTATGGACACTTGCTCCAGCTCTCCAATTGAAAGCATTCACGGAGGTATGGGCAGGAAGCCGGAGGAAGAGTCTGCAAGAGCCTAATAATTTGTATACACGATCCAGTGATCATGGACGCATGGCTTTGCAGGCTTTTGTGAAAGAAAAAAAAAAAGACACTTTTTTTTTTTTTTGCAAAAATATGTGCATTTATTAATTCATTTTTATAAAGGTGAACTTATCCTTTAATCTCACACTCAGATATACAGCAATGAGGCTGTAGGAACACGAATACTTAGGCACACTTACATACCATGTAGCGCACTGTTATTTTTCAGGAGGAATTCAAGAAGGATTCATAAATCTTCTGCTTATTGACTATTAGAATTTCTAGACGTTCTCTGCAACATAGCAAATCTCCACTCTGATTTTAGGTCCTTTTTTTGCATGCATGGTCTTAAAGTTGAAGTCCGGTCAAAAGCTATCCAATCTTAAATCTACTCCCAGCCCCATTCAATGCCTATTCTAACTACCCTGTAAAGGAAAGATGTGTATACTTATCTAATCTAAGGGTGCTCCGGTCCAGTCACATGATTGGCTCCCAGCACCAGCAGGGTAGGGATGGAGAGCAGACAACGGATGCCCCATAGTAAGTCTATGGGTAACATCACCGCCCAGACCCTACACCCCTTGTAGGCCATCTCTCCTCTTCATTGAAGCCAGCAGCTGGGGAGATCATGTGACCAGACTGGAGTGCCTTCACAATAGGTAAGTATTATTATTATTATACAGGATTTATATAGCGCCAACAGTTTGCTCAGCGCTTTACAATATAATGGGAGACAATACAGCAACAATACAGTTCAATACAAGAGGTAAAGGCGGTCCCTGCTCCTTGGAGCTTACAATCTAGGAGGAGGTATAGAAGTCTTTCCTATACAGGGTAGTTAGTATAGGGCTTAGAATAGGGATGGAAGTAGATTTAGGCTTTCTTAGCTTTTGTCCGAATGGCATCTTTAATACAATAAAATATTGGAACCATTTTTCTTTTTTAATAAACATGCAGTTGCTGCAACATAAAAATAAGCATAACATGCACAATATAAATTACTTACTGTAAATTCTTTTTAAATGTCACCAATTTCAGTTTGCCAGCTGACTTTATCACTCCTCACTAATGATGGAATTAAAGCTTCTAAAGTCATTAAATCATATCCCTGAGATTTATAAAAGCTCTGTGAGGTACTACAGACCAATAACTATCAGAAAAAGTGAAAGAATAGCTCTTATCTAGGTTCTAGCTACACTCCAAGTACAATGCAGGTGATACAGAACAGATTTTTGGAGTAAGTTATACTTGCAGGTCATACATTCCTGTACACATTTGCATTTTCATGTTTTATCTGTTGAGAAGTCTAAATCTTACAATAGGCTGTTACATCCATACACCTGATTCTTCTCTGGCGGGTGTTTCCCAGTCTGAATCAGATGCTGGCCAAATGGGTAGTCTTGGTATTTTACTTGTGCTTGTTATTAGTGATTCTTTTTCCCCTAATTAGGGTCATTGGAACTACCCAGAGGAGGGGGAATGCTTTGATTTTGCTCTCTCAGTAATCAGGACAGTACGAAAATTGAGGAATGAATTCAGCCTGACCAAGGCAAGACCTGAAGGTGAGTGAGCATGGTCTGTGGTGTATTGTGATTGTTTCTTGAGAGCTATATTATTGGATTTCCTATCATAATTTCCGTGTTTTCTCAATCCACTGATTGCTTCCACTGCTGCTCCTTTGTAGTATTCCTCCTCTCCTTCTCCTCCCCTTCTCTTTTTCTCCTCTTCTCCTCCTCTTCTCATGCTCCTTTTCTTCTTCTTCTCTCTCCTCCTCTTATTCTCATGCTCCCTCCTCTTCTTCTTCTTCTCATCCTCCTCCTCTTCTTCTTCTCATCCTCCTCCTCTTCTTCTTCTCATCCTCCTCCTCTTCTTCTTCTCATCCTCATCTTCATTTCATCCTCCTCTTCTTCCTCCTCCTATGATTTTATTGTTTTCACAATCCTCTGACTGCTTCCCCTTCCCAATAATATTACAAGAGCCCAGCCCACACCTTCTCCTTCCTCCTCTCCTTCTCCTCATCCTCCTCCTCATCCTCCTCCTCCTCATCCCTCCTCCTCCTTCTTTTTTCTTCTTCCTTTTTTTTCTTCTCCCTCTTCTTCCTTCTCCCTCCTTCCTTCTCCCTCCTTCTTCCTCATCCTCCTTCTTCTGATGGAAAACATCATTCATCAAGTCTATGTAAATCCAAAGTCTAAATTTCCATATATGTTTGGCTTTATGCCTCACTGTAGACAGTTTTTCTAAGCAAATCATTGTTCTGCATCCTCCTTTATTAGTCTGTTAGGCTGCAGACCTGATGGACAAACACAGATGCCACATGAAGCAGTGCGCATGGCAGGCTGAGAATGCTGCTGTTAAATGAGATTCATTTGAGTAGCATTGTCAGCATGCAACAGGAAAGATTGTTCCTGGCAGGATCTCCAGGTAAGAAACCTTGCAACAGATTGACAAAAAATGATTAGGCGGGACCACATTTAGCAAAACAATTTAGGTGATATCGATCCAAATCGAAAATTGCATATCTAAAAGACCCATCTAAGGGAAAACTTATAAATCCACTAGATATAGCCAATGCTTTTAGTAGATACTATGAACACTATATAACATAAAAAACTCTCAAGAATTTACATCTCCTACTGATAACCAAATCAATACGTTTCTGGAATCACTCCAACTTCCTAAGATCTCCACAGAACAACTAGACTCCTTATCACAACCCTTCACCACCTCTGAAATTAAAAAATAATTCATGATCTCCCTTCTCACAAATCACCAGGACCTGACGGTTATACCAATGAATATTACAAAACCTTTGCTCCAACCCTTATCCAATATCTACATAAATTTGTTAATAAATTCACATCTGAAAATATCCCAAAATAAACATTAGAAGCCATTATTATCACACTGCCGAAACCAGGCAAACCTCCCACATCACCAGCCAACTTTAGACCTATATCACTTTTAAATACAGATACAAAAATGTATGCCAAACTACTAGCCAACCGACTTCAATCATTATTACCAAAACAAATTAATTCAGATCAGGTTGGATTTATCAACGGACGTCAAGCACCAGACGCCGCACGTAGATTCAGAAATTTAGCTCAATGGGCAAATTACACACAAACACCATCTCTACTCATCTCATTAGATGCAGAAAAGGCGTTTGACAGAATCTACTGGCCATACCTACAACTGGTACTAGAAAAATTTGGAATAACAGGTTTGTTCAAGAAAGCAATTATGGCTTTATATACATGCCCTAGTGCTAGAGTATGGTCATCTGGTATACTTTCTTACCCATTCCAGATATCAAATGGTACAAGGCAAGTGCGTCCCTTATCACCTTTAATCTTTGCTTTATGCATAGAAACATTGGCAGAAGCGATACGTATACAACCTGACATTGGAGGTATCAAAATAGGTCACGAAACACATAAAATAGGACTGAACGCTGATGACATCATAATTGCTATGACCGACCCCATCATCTCAATAATAGCATTGCAAAAGGTTATCTCGCAATGTAGCTTATTATCCATGTACAAAGTAAATCTAGCCAAATCCTCCATGTTGCCGATGGCAATCCCACCTACACTACATAAATTTCATCAATCTCCCCCTTCTCATGGGCCACATCATCACAAATTACATACTTAGGAATAAAATTAACGTCTCCCCACTCGAATACATTTAAGATCAACTTTTCCAATCTACTCATTAAAATAACAGAACTATGTAAAGTGTTCTCCAACACCACTATTTCATGGGTTGGGTGAATTGCTATTGTAAGAATGTTTATCTTACTACACATTTTATATTTCTTTGAAGCCATCCCAATACCATTACTATCTTCATCCATACAAAAACTACAATCACTATTAAACACTTACATCTGGGAACACAAAAAGGCACGGGTCAACAAATTGACACTGTACACTTCTCGATCAAATTTAGGTATGGGAGCCCCCAATCTACAATTATACCATAAAGCAATAGTGTTGGATCAGACACAGCATTGGGGGACACCTCAAATAGACAAACGATGGGTACAGATAGAACAGTCCCTTATCCATAGTGACACTCAAGCCACATTGGGAGCTCTTACTCTGACCCATAGAGCCCTAAGATACTGCCTAGACACAATCAATGTGACTCTCTGCACCTGGGTGTCTATTCTGCGAACCTCAAAGGGAAATTACCCTACAATTAATGGCTTCATTCCTCTACTCTCCATATCATCGATGACACCTGATCTAGAACTTAAATCCTGGTCAAAAGCAGGCCTTCAAAATCTTGCCCAACTATATGCCAATGGTACCCTACACACATTTCAACAACTTTCTGAAACATACAAAATTATGCATAAGGACTTTTTCAAATATCTAAGAATTCGTCATGCATTACGCAACCTGGAATACCAAGAAGATTCTCTCCTCAGATCTTTGACCAACTTTTATGAAAGAATAGATTCTCACAAACGAGGTATCTCATTCATATATAATATCCTTCTTCAACATCGTCACCAAGGAAAATTACCAACGATGCATAAATGGGAACGAGACATTGGGAAACAATTCCAGATTCAACAATGGCAAACAGCAGGAAACTGGACTAGGAAAACTACCAGATGCATTAACCATTGGGAATCAGCTCAAAAGATATTACACAGATGGTACATAACTCCACAACATTTGGCAGCATGTTCATCCAACCGCTACTCCTCATTATGCTGGAGGAACTGTAACCAACAAGGATCCTTGTACCATATATGGTGGGAATGTCCACAAATTACCCCATTCTGGTCAGATATCTTCATGTTTATAACATCAGTTACAAACTCCTCTCCAATTCCTGATCCAGCCCTGGCACTTTTGGGAATAGGAATAGACTCCTGGCCACCACAGTCCAGAAATGTACTAATGCATATTTTGATAGCGGCACGATTGAGTATTGCCAGGCTTTGGAAACAAACTACAACACCATCCATTCACACAGTAACTGAAATCCTGAACAAAAACACAGCCTTTGAAAAAACCTTTGCTCAAATACACAACTCATCTGCTAAATTCCGGAAACGTTGGGACTTATGGCTCAAAGATCATCGATGTACCGTTACATAAGAAACTACAAGATGTACCAATCAAACACCACTAGAGATACAGCTACTCCACTTTATTATTATCACCCTATTATCCAAAAAAAGGAAATATGTAATCATTTCAAATCTCATTCTTTATTCTACTTCTCTCTAATCTCTAATCTCCACTTCTCACAACCTTTTTCTTCTCTAAACTAATGACTTACTGAATATTTCAAACAAACAATGCATACTCATCAAAAAAAAAGAAATGTATTGATGACAGTAATGACTACAAAGTCACATTGTTTATAAGCTGAATTTTGTAAGATGTTGAATATGCTCATACTCTTTTATATATATCCTTTACAAATCTGTAATACATTACTGCGAAAATACTGTTAATTGTTGTAAACAATCAATGACCAATAAAAAAACAATAGTTATAAAAAAAAAATGAGTAGGCCGATCTTTACTTATAACAGCTTGATAAAAAAGAATGTTCTTTATAAGGAACATACATTCCACATTAGTAACAAAATCAGTGTGTGATGTAAATTGTCTCCGGCATTGTTCCTGTTTCTCCTTGCTGCCATTTTGCTGAAGCCCAGAGCCCCTGAGCATAAGTAAATCTTTAAGCTGTCAGCAGGTTGGCCTCTAGTGGCTCTGATTTTCAGCACAGTGCCAAAAACTGAGGGCAAGTGAGCATGTGTAGAGCAGGGTGTATTACTGAATTTTAAACTGTATAGGCACTAATTTATAATGTTTTACATAGCTATACCTGCAAAAGGGGCCAACCTGAAGTCATCTAGCATGACTTAATTTTTTGACTAAAGTTCCACTTTAAGAAAACTGTGTACAGTGAGGCATGATGAAAAAAAAGTCAAACATACTGAAAAATATGTGTCAGGTTTATGTGCTGTTTACATACCCTATAATTTATTTCTTGAAATGTTTCTATACTAAATGTTAGTGACATGCACTTCGGAAAGCAATTTGTAATATAAGTGGCTTAGCAGTCATTTTTCTCATGTCTGTTTTTTTTTAATCAAAACAGTCCACATTTTCTGTTCACGGGAAGAGGACCTGGCCTCTCTTCAGTCTTTCTGCTCCCCTCTACAGACGCTGTCGTTGTCAGGATCTCTTCATATTCAGCTGTCCAGTGATACATCTCAAGAGGGCGATGACAGAATTGGCTGGGCCATGGAGCAAGTAACAGATAACTGCTGCGTTTATATGAATCTTCAGGTTAGAAAAATCTACCTCTAGTGAGATGATCTTTGATTGCAGAACAATGGGACAGATTTGTAAAAACTGTAATCAAAGTGGATCTCCACCCCTCCTTTGGCCCTCTGCATGAATAGGGTTTTTTTCCCCCTTTAGTTACGTTTTTTACGCCCCTCCTTTCATGTGCAGATGATGAATGACACTGTCCTACCTTTGCCTCCTGGGATATGCGCATCAATATCCCAGGGGGCAAAGCCTTTCATGCACTAAAAGAAGAAGGGGTGGGCCTAGTAGCAGCCAGCAGCCTATCGATAACATTATACAAAAACTTGGCAGTGCGGGACCAAGAAGAGAAATGGATCTTAGCTGGACAGCAGTGGATCCGCAGGATCTGAAATGCATATAATTTCCCCACCAGCTAAGTAGTGGTTTAAAAAAGAAACACGGTGGTGGGGGGTGGATTGGGTGAAAAAATCTACTTTAATCAAAGTGTCCGTGTGACCCATGCACCTAATTTTCACACTGGGTAGGCTGGGGTACCCAAGTAATGTGAGGATGGAAATAATATCCCGTGGACAGGTAGGCTCACACAGTAGACACAAATTTAAAAAAAAATGTACATTTTACAATGTATTCTCTCTTCCTGCTAGAAGGAGGGTGAGATCTCACCACTGTACATCTTTGACTATTTTTTGTCTTTTACTCACCAGGGATTTGTTGACCCGAAGTCAGAGGTCGGGAAGCTACAACCTAAGCTTGACAAGTTAGAACGTCAACTTCAGGGCAAGAAGCCACTTGAGGAGGAAGACAATGAGGTACCCAGAGGATGGTGTTTTATATATGTGTCTCATCCTCATGTGCAACATGTCATACTGTGTAGTTTGGGAGTCAGCAACCCGTAGATAGTGATCTGCCAGTAGATTGTGGCCAGGTGACTGGTAGATTGCAGTCTGGGCTTTCTGACCCGCCATCCCAGAACAAGCAACAGAGTGCAATGCAGAGGGACTACTTGTGAAGTTGGAGCTGTAGTACGGAGCAGGAGCCGCATAAGCCGATGCCTCCTCTGTAGTGCTGGCTCCTGTCCCATGTGGAGTGATACCAACTGCACTCCACCTCTTATCCTGCCAAGTGGTCTCCAGAGTGGTGCCAGAAGAAGAGGAGATGCTCAGGTCAGTGTGAATCAATACACTGGACATAAGAGTATAGGGCTGCTTTCACATTGCTGTGCTGCAGTTTACTCATACCCGCGTGTTGTGCAGTGTACCTGCAGCTTTCCTGCGGATTTGCTGCCCTTATTCATAGACTCCTATTTGTGAAAAACTTCTGAATGCAGGGGTTTTGGTGTGCTTTCACAAAGTGCGCCACACCTGCAGGATTTAATAGAAGTCAATGGCAAAGCGCAGCTAACCCAGGGAAGTTACAGATGAGCTGCGCTGCACCTGTGGAGAAGGTAAACCGCAGCACATCAGTGTGAAAAAACACCCTTATAGGGGGCCCAGAACAATAGGGGTTCATTTACATTTGCAGTTTGGGGGAACCCCATAGTTAAAACTTGTTTGTACCATGTGCTTTGATGGCCAGCGGTGTACACATGTCACAGCCGCAGCAGGAGTTATATGCCCTGTCATGGTTGATGGATGTAGCACCTGCCAAGCATGACCTATTTAAGTGAATGAGGCCACTCTGCAAGTGCCCTACAAGCTTGTGCAGTACAGCAAACAAGGGGTTAAAGCAGGCAGTGTTGTGTTTCTATCTCATCACCTGCTTTAACCCCTTGGACCCCTGCAGAAACATGCAGTTGCAGGGCGCTTGTAGAGTGTCCTATTTACTTGAATGGGTAGCGATTGGCTGGCGGTAGCACCCACCAAAAGCAACAGGGGGGCTTAATTCCGGCTGCGGCATGTGTATACCTTTGGCTGCTGCCTCAGCAGCTAAAGGGGTTAGGGATTTGGGGGGGGGGGGGGGGCAGTAAAACTGCGATTAAACCACAGGATTTACCACCCCACCAACTTTATGTGTGAAGGGTGCCGCTGTCAGTGCAACTAAGGGCTCGTTCACAAGTGCAGCAGGTACTGCTGCTCCTCTAAAAAGCGACCCGAGTGTGTTTGACAGGTGGTGAGGAGGTGATATGTTGCCTCCTCACTACCTGATTTAAACCCATGATTACCATGCAATGCACACTTTTGTAACACATTAATACAGCAATTACACGTTTAACTGGTGTGAGGAGACGACACTGTGCCCAGTGATATTTGACTTCTCCCATGTTGTTCAGGTAGATGTCCACCTCTTTAAGGTTGCCTACCCCTGGTGTAATTGACTCACAAATCATATTTAGTGCTCACTAGAGGAATTATGCAAACACCTACTTCTACTAAAATCTCTTGGTTTTTCTCTGCAGGATAGCGCCATACATCGGAAAATCTCAAGACTTCAACAAACAATAAGGACTTTGCAGCAGATGTTAAAGAACTAAATCAGCCCAGACTGTGCCATACAGAATGAAAGAACTAAATCAGCCCTAGGACTGTGCCGTACAGAATGAAAGAACTAAATCGGCCCTGGACTGTGCCGTACAGAATCAAAGAACTAAATCAGCCCTGGACTGTGCCGTACAGAATGAAAGAACTAAATGGGCCCTGGACTGTGCCGTACAGAATGAAAGAACTAAATCAGCCCTAGACTGTGCCGTACAGAATGAAAGAACTAAATCGGCCCTGGACTGTGCCGTACAGAATCAAAGAACTAAATCGGCCCTGGACTGTGCCGTACAGAATGAAAGAACTAAATCGGCCCTGGACTGTGCCGTACAGAATGAAAGAACTAAATCGGCCCAGGACTGTGCCGTACAGAATGAAAGAACTAAATGGGCCCTGGACTGTGCCGTACAGAATGAAAGAACTAAATCGGCCCTGGACTGTGCCGTACAGAATGAAAGAACTAAATCAGCCCTGGACTGTGCCGTACAGAATGAAAGAACTAAATCAGCCCTAGACTGTGCCGAACAGAATGAGATCATGAAGTCTCTGAATATAATGACAATGTGGACGGTGCACACTGCTCCTTGTGTTTTTGAGTGGAGCAAAGAAGGACTTGATTCTTCCCCCCCATAAGGTCTTTCTTGTGACCCAGAAAGATCTCCATCACCCCAGTGTGACTGTGACAGGCAGTGGGCTCAGCTTAGATTCCAGGCTGCTTGCTCTCCAGCCTCAGATTTAGTTCCTATGGAACAAATTGTAGAATGTTGTGTCTCACTGAAATGTCTTCATTTTCATACATCAACCAACTAGATTATAACTTAATCAACAACAATCTACCACAAAATTGAATATGATCTCCTAAAGGTGGTAGTGAAAAGAGGCCCAGTCTATGCAGTAACACTTGTCTATAATTTGTGTATACATAGTTTATCAGTTGTTTGAGACCAAGATTCTCATGGTTCCTGTATGTATGATATAAATGGAAACAAGTATTTTTTTAGGTAAACCATAAAAAATTAATGAAAGAATTGCACTTTACAATGCAACAACAGGGCTATAGTATGCTGAAGTTTTGGACAGTGACAGAAAAGTTTATGGCGTAAGTCATTGAGTCTGGGATATGTGGTGATTGTGTGAGTCTATCCCTGACGTTATGTCGCCATAGAGTTTGGATTAGGTAAATTAAAAAAGAAGGGTGCTTTACAAATGTTCACACCCATCTGTCACTTTCTTGGACAGTCACATCTGTCTTGATAGGGTAATGACACTATGAGGATTAGAAAACGGAGTTGCCCCTGTGATTATAAATGCTGGGGTTATGTTCCTCTCCTGACATTCATTTTAACCAAGAATGCCACTTAGATGGTAGTTAGTGTATGTAAAAACTCATTTGATTAGATTTTTTTATTCTATAAAGGACACTTTAAACCCTTTAAAGTGGAACTTCATTCACAAAGTAAAGTCCCGCTGGTTCACCCCCGCCCCCCAGCTTGAAACTGAGTTTTGGTGAAAGAGGGGGAGAGAATACTGATTCCTGGAGAGTACTGGCATCCCTTGCCCCCTCCCAGCCCACGTCACATGTCCCAGGAGACTTGAGGACCAATTACAAAAGTGCTACTTGAGCTCACACATGCATAGTTGGGAACCGGATGTATTTCCTCAGGAAGCTACAGCTGGATCCTTAATCCAACATGGTGGTGTCAGGATTCCGTATCCTTAAGAGAGAACCAGCTGCTGGAATACAGTTCTGGACCCTAGGCACTGGTAAGTGCCTGATTTTTGAAAGTCAGCAGCTGACTATTAAAAACACAAAACAAAGCTCCTTTTCAACTATTGGGTTATACTGCCACCTACAGGAGGATAGGACACTGGCAAACAAAAAACATTTAGGTCAGCCCAGTAACCCTTCCTACAAGCATGCCTCAGTTTTTGCATATGGTGTCACATTTGTGGCAATACCTCACATGTGTGGTGCAATCACCATTTACGTATCATTGCGGGACTTGCGTATGTGTTTGTATTTGGAAGGGGGAATTGTAACAAATTTTTAAAATTATTTTGTTATTCATTTTTTTAAATTCATTGTTATTGCTATCACAAGGGATGAACAACATTCCTTGTAATAGCTTGGGCAGCGTCAGGTACTTTTTACTGAGAGGACTATTAGACTCTCCAAGACAGCGGATCAAACACAGATTGGTTTAATCAGATGCCTCCCTGGCCAGGTAAACGAAGAACCAAATACTGGAAGTGATGAAATCCTCTTCATTCCTTCAGCTTCATTCATCACAGAGGAAGAGGGGGGACTGGATGTTCCTCGCTCTTCTCTGTGGGCAGCCAGCCCACAATTTGTAGTGGTCCTTTTTTTTTTGTATTCATTCACTATGTGTTTTTGTTTGGAACAGTGAAGGCAAAGTAAAATATTGGTTGCAAGGAAATGGAGGCTTATTGTCATGCACCAAAATGCGTGCACTAAAATTTATGTTGCATGTGTTTTTCTTGCACTCCCATGGAAGTCTATGGAGCAAAAAAGGTACTATGCCGCACCGAAAAAAAAAGGCCTGCACCTTTTGCCAAGTCACACTGTGTCACCAAGCATAGGTGTGAACGGACACCATAGAAAAGAAAGGATTTCTCTTGCCATGCCTTTTCGACTGATGGCTGAAGTGTTTCAACTAGCACATATATGAATGAACCCTAAACCAATGGATAATGAAGAAGTGGTCAGGGTCAGGTTTCATTTTGTCCCAGTGAGCAGCTGAGGGAGGAATATATTGCATGACTCAAACTGTAGTAAATCCTGTTGTACAATTTACATACTACTCCTGTACAACATGGCCTTCTGTCCTTCATTGTGTTTATAAACATTATTTCGTTTTCATGTGACACTAGTCTTAGCTCCACCCCTCTGTTATTCTTCTGCTGACATTGGTTTACGCCTCTGGAAAGGAACCAGTGGTTCTCCATAGTAACCCTGCTCACTGCCTGGATTGACCTCATGGACCACCATAACTGGTCTCTAGGGATGCATCAATACCACTTTTTTAGTAACACGTACGAGTACCTATATATTTTATTTCTAAGTACTCGCCGATACCTATTACCGGCAATTATGGAGATCAAGAGGAGCAGCAGGGAGAGGGGTCTCCATCATCTATGAATGTGCTGTGTAATATTATCATCTGGCTGAGACCAAGTGATTGAAAAAACACAGCACTCCCAACACTCAGCACTGCCAGCCCCACAGCTAGGAGGACCATGCTGTCATCCCACCTCCTCCTCCTCCAGTCCCATCTCTCGAATCCCATGCCCTCCTCCTCCAGTCCCATCTCCCGCATCCCACGTCCTCCTCCTCCAGTCACATCTGCCCCTGCCTACGTCGTTTTCCTGCAGTCTCACATCTTCCTGCTCCTTCAGTTTCATTTCCTCCATCCCTCATCCCCTTCCTCCTGCAGTCCATACAACATGCTTGAGTGCAAGAGTAAGTAACATAAAATATTATGTCTTGAGTGCAGAGCAAGAGAGTGGGGTGAGGGTGTAGGGAGAGAGAGAGACAAAGGAGTAAAAAAGAAAGGGGGGAAAGAGTGTGGGGGGAGAGGGGGGACAAAGAGAAACAGAGAATCCTCCTTTTTCTCCCTCTTGCCTCTATGACACTACAAATCCCAGCGTGGCAGACTCCCTTGCCTCAGCTCACACAGAACAAGGAAATGTCCACAAAAGGGGTCACTACAGCCTGTTAGCCATATATATATGTGTGTGCGTGTGTGTGTACAGTTGTGGCCAAAATTATTCAACCCCCAATGCTGTAAAGGGGTTTAGGGACTATAGTGTACATTTGGAATTGTATTCAGAATCAAATCCTACAAGGACGTTGTAACTACCCAAATGCAACTAAAATGACATCAATTGTTTATGTAATACAGTAGTAAATGGTTCTTATGTGGTTTCTTCATTGCCACAATTATTCAACCCCTTAAAGACTACCACTCTGAAGAACAGAGGTTCATACAGGTGCTTTCCATCAGGTATTGAAAACACCTGTGGATGTCACCGAGCAGCAATCAAGCATAATAAGCACCAATTAGGCAGCTTTAAAATGACTGTGATACTCAGCTCCTTCTAGACATTTACTGGTGTGGTTACAAACATGGTGAAGGCAAGAGAATGGTCCAGGAAGACAAGAGAAGAGGTGATTTCTCTTCACAGGAAGGGCAATGGCTATAAGAAGATTGCAAAGATGTTAAACATACCAAGAGACACCTTAGGAAGCATCATTCGCAAATTCAAGGCAAAGGGCACTGTTGAAACGCTACCTGGTCTGGCAGAAAGAGATGCTGACTTCGACTGCTGTGCGCTACCTGAAGCGTAGAGTGGAGAGAAGTCCCCGTGTGACTGCTGAGGAACTGAGAAAAGATTTGTCAGATGTGGGTACAGAAGTTTCAGCCCAGACAATAAGACGCACACTGCGTAATGAAGGCCTCCGTGCCAGAACTCCCAGGCGTACCCCCTTGCTGTCTCCAAAGAATAAGAAGAGTCGACTGCAGTATGCCAAAAGCCATGTGGACAAACCACAAAAGTTGTGGGATAGTGTTCTGTGGACTGATGAAACAAAATTAGAACTGTTTGGGCCCATGGATCAACGCTATGTTTGGAGGAGGAAGAACAAGGCCTATGATGAAAAGAACACCTTGCCTACTGTGAAGCATGGTGGAGGGTCAATCATGCTTTGGGGCTGTTTTGCTTCTGCAGGTACAGGGAAGCTTCAGCGTGTGCAAGGTACCATGAATTCTCTTCAGTACCAGGAGATATTGGATGGAAAACGTGATGCAGTCCGTCACACACCTGAGGCTTGGGAGACGTTGGACCTTTCAACAGGACAATGATCCCAAGCATACCTCCAAGTCCACTAGAGCATGGTTGCAGAGGAAAGGCTGGAACATTTTGGAGTGGCCATCGCAGTCACCAGACTTAAATCCGATTGAGAACCTCTGGTGGGACTTAAAGAAAGCAGTTGCAGTGCGCAAGCCTAAGAATGTGACTGAACTGGAGGCCTTTGCCCATGGGTGGGCGAAGATACCCGTAGATCGCTGCAAGACACTTGTGTCAAGCTATGCTTCACGTTTTAAAAGCTGTTATAACTGTAAAAAGGATGCTGCTGTACTAAGTACTAAGATTGAATGTCACTTGGGGGTTGAATAAAACTGATAATGCTGTGAGCACAGAAAAGACATTTGTGTTATTTCATTATAACTGTTATGTTATATTTGTCTGACCTACAAGTGCCTCTTTAATGTAAATGTAAGCAAGATGACTGAATGATCAAAAGCAATGTCAAACTGGCCAAAACACTCAATTTCAGTGGGGGTTGAATAATTTTGGCCACAACTGTATATACAGTCAGGTCCATAAATATTGGGACATCGACACAATTCTAACATTTTTGACTCTATACACCACCACAATGGATTTGAAATGAAACAAACAAGATGTGCTTTAACTGCAGACTGTCAGCTTTAATTTGAGGGTATTTACATCCAAATCAGGTGAACGGTGTAGGAATTACAACAGTTTGCATATGTGCCTCCCACTTGTTAATGGGACAGAATAATAATCATAAATCTAACTTTCACTTTTTAATAATTGGTTGCAAATCCTTTGCAGTCAATTACAGCCTGAAGTCTGGAACGCATAGACATCACCAGACGCTGGGTTTCATCCCTGGTGATGCTCTGCTAGGCCTCTACTGCAACTGTCTTCAGTTCCTGCTTGTTCTTGGGGCATTTTCCCTTCAGTTTTGTCTTCAGCAAGTGAAATGCATGCTCAATCGGATTCAGGTCAGGTGATTGACTTGGCCATTGCATAACATTCCACTTCTTTCCCTTAAAAAATTCTTTGGTTGCTTTTGCAGTATGCTTTGGGTCATTGTCCATCTGCACTGTGAAGCGGTGTCCAATGAGTTGTGAAGCATTTGGCTGAATATGAGCAGATAATATTGCCCGAAACACTTCAGAATTCATGCTGCTGCTTTTGTCAGCAGTCACATCATCAATAAATACAAGAGAACCAGTTCCATTGGCAGCCATACATGCCCACGCCATGACACTACCACCACTATGCTTCACTGATGAGGTGGTGTGCTTAGGATCATGAGCATTCCTTTCCTTCTCCATACTCTTCTCTTCCCATCACTCTGGTACAAGTTGATCTTGGTCTCATCTGTCCATAGGATGTTGTTCCAGAACTGTGAAGGCTTTTTTAGATGTCGTTTGGCAAACTCTAATTTGGCCTTTCTGTTTTTGAGGCTCACCAATGGTTTACATCTTGTGGTGAACCCTCTGTATTCACTCTGGTGAAGTCTTCTCTTGATTGTTGACTTTGACACACATACACCTACCTCCTGGAGAGTGTTCTTGATCTGGCCAACTGTTGTGAAGGGTGTTTTCTTCACCAGGGAAAGAATTCTTCGGTCATCCACCACAGTTGTTTTCCGTGGTCTTTCGGGTCTTTTGGTGTTGCTGAGCTCACCGGTGCGTTCCTTCTTTTTAAGAATGTTCCAAACAGTTGTTTTGGCCACGCCTAATGCTTTTGCTATCTCTCTGATGGGTTTGTTTTGTTTTTTTTCAGCCTAATGATGGCTTGCTTCACTGATAGTGACAGCTATTTGGATCTCATCTTGAGAGTTGACAGCAACAGATTCCAAATGCAAATAGCACACTTGAAATGAACTCTGGACCTTTTATCTGCTCATTGTAATTGGGATAATGAGGGAATAACACACACCTGGCCATGGAGCAGCTGAGAAGCCAACTGTCCCATTACTTTTGGTCCCTTAACAAGTGGGAGGCACATATGCAAACTGTTGTAATTCCTACACTGTTCACCTGATTTAGATGTTAATACCCTCAAATTAAAGCTGACAGTCTGCAGTTAAAGCACATCTTGTTCGTTTAATTTCAAATCCATTGTGGTGGTATATAGAGCCAAAAATGTTAGAATTGTGTTGATGTCCCAATATTTATGGACCGGACTGTATATATATATATATATATATATATATATATATATATATATATATATATATATATATATATATACACACACACACACACACACACACACACACACACACACACACTATATTGCCAAAAGTATTGGGACAGCTCTCCAAATCACTGGATTCAGGTGTTCCAATCACCTCCATGGCCACAGATGTAAAATATCAAGCACCTAGACATACATACAGATGGCCACGCAGCTGTTGAGTTTTATTTGGATACTGCTGACGACATCCCTCTAACACAAAAGCACTTTATTCTGGATCTACTGGATTTTTCTATGAGTCACAATTACTTTTGGTTCGACAATAAATACTATTTGCAAAGGACCGGAGTTGCCATGGGTGCGAAGTTCGCACCCAGCCTAGCTAATCTGTTTATGGCAAGATGGGAGGAAGACCTCATTTATTCTCGCGACTGGCCCCAACTAATTTTCTACCGCAGATACATAGACGACATTTTGCTTTTATGGGAGGGAGACGAGTTCACATTATTGAATTTTTTTACTACTACTTTAAATTTTAATGAATTAAACATCAAGTTATCCTTTCAGTACGATTATTTTACTATCAGTTTTTTAGATCTTACACTTTTTAACACCGGTAACACTATTTCCACAAAGAGTTATTTTAAACCAACGGATAGGAACAGTTTCATTCCTAAAGACAGCTGCCATTTACCGAGATGGCTAGCCAATATACCCAGAGGACAATTTTTACGTATACACAGGAACTGTACTAATCGTGAAGATTTTATCACACAATCTAACATTCTCAAGAATAGATTTATAGAGAAAGGATACAATGCCACCTCATTAGAAAGTGAAATTAATGAAATCGTTAATATGGATAGGAATGACCTTTTAACCATTAAACCAAAGGTCCAAGCAGAAAGAGTATGTCCTTTCATCACTAACTTCTCAACGCAATACAAAGATATTGCAAAAATTATCAAGAAAAATTGGACCATCCTCAAAAACGACCCAGTTTTAGGTAAGACATTACCGGATTTACCAGAAATCACCTATCGCAGAGCACCAACACTTAGGAACAAACTGGCACCCAATATAATTAACCCTCCCAAACAACCCAGTTTTTTCTTCAACCGCAGTGGCTTTTACCCCTGTAATAGATGCATGTTATGCGTTTATAATGGTATACACAAAAGTACTGTAAAATCATTTAGATCGAATACCACAGGTATAACGTTCGACATTGAAAACACCATCACATGCAACACTACACATGTAGTCTACCTCTTAGAGTGTTAAATAATAATAAAATATACTTGTGAGCTACTATAGTGGTATGTGCAAAATTTATTAATAACTAACAACTAAAAAAATGATTTATAAATGACTAACACCTAAATTAATAATGGTGCCTCAACACAAATACACATACTCATAATGCTGTGTGATAATAAACTAATAAATAATTGATTGTGTCGCGCTCCACCTCCTGAAATACGACATTTGTAATATTTTAACCATGCATATCATGCACTACTGTGTTAGATAATGAATAATGTGAGTGTATATTATTCCATGATCATATAATATGAATAAATATAGATAAAAAATCTCTGTGGTCCAATTAATTATTAAACAATATTAATAAAAAATGAAATCAATTATGTGAAAAAACTCTAATAAATATAATAAAATTCCATATCAATAATGTTAAATAAAAACCACCATCTAAAGTGACATATATGTGCAAAACACAATGTGAATGTGCAAAATACAAAATGCATAAATAAATTAATACTAATGATTAATGATAAATAATGAATAATATAAAAATAAATATGAAATATAAAAAGTTGATATCAAATAATAAATAATGAATAATAAATAAAAACCTCAATCTAATCTTACTGTGCAAGTGATATTATATATTCACCTCACTTGTACAGCCCAAAGTTCTAAATGGAGCTATATATTTATTGTCCTTAGTTAGACACAATGTGAATGTCCCAATTTTAATCTTTATATATTGTAAACAATATATATATTGCTGTTGAGATGGGCTATAATATTACTCTCCTTCCACTAGGTGGCCTCCCAGATTCTTCTGAGCTGTAAGGGCTAGGTGGATGGATACGGATATCCTCCTCGTCCTGAGGGGATCAATCTATCTCCTCTTCTCCCCTTTTGCTCCTCCAGTTCAGGCCATGTAAAAGAAGAATTCCCACATAGTGTGCTTTATCTTTCAAACAAGACTTTAATTTGTCTCCGGTAAAATGCGCACTTACATTTCTCAAAACAATACAGAGCGTGTTTCAGTGTGTGCCCATGCACAATAGCAGTACTCGCCGTTCTGCTGACTGGTGGCGTTGTGACGTCAGAGCCCCTCCCCTATGCGTTACGCCACAGTGTCACGTGGCTTCCTCAGGGGGATTCAATAGGACGCCATAACGCTGCTATCTTTATATAGGCCGTTCCAGCGCCATTTTCTCGAAGTCCGCATGGAAGCGGCCATCTCAATGGGGCCAGATATTACTTATACATATGCAATGTGTTCACAAATTAAGCACATTGCTTATATTATTTGCATAGGGTTTATTGAAGAACACCCTTACTTTACTCTGACTTAACACCATTAGTACTGTAACTGAGCTGGGCACCATTGAATACAATTTTTAAGTACACAAAGCCTCCATTAAAAAACAATAAAAATACTTATTAACCTTTAATTGACAGTGAAAATTTTTAAAAAAATATATTAAACTCAAATAAAATCTAAAAAATTAAAATAAAAATAAAAATGAAAAAAATAATAAATAAAAAATATAATAAAAGATAAATAATAAAATAGAATAAAACATAAAAAATAAAAAATAATAAAAAATAAATAAATAAATTGATTTCATTTTTTATTAATATTGTTTAATAATTAATTGGACCACAGAGATTTTTTATCTATATTTATTCATATTATATGATCATGGAATAATATACACTCACATTATTCATTATCTAACACAGTAGTGCATGATATGCATGGTTAAAATATTACAAATATCGTATTTCAGGAGGTGGAGCGCGACACAATCAATTATTTACTACCTCTTAGAGTGCTCCTGCGGGAAGCAATACGTAGGGAGAACAACTCGAAGGCTAAGAGATAGATTGCGTGAACACTTGAAAAACATCACAAAGGGGTTTAAGGAACACTCTGTATCCATGCATTTCAGACAACATCACCACAGAAACCCCCACTGCCTGAAATTTACGGGAATTGATGTTATTAAAAAACAATGGCGAGGTACATACAGTAAAAGAGCTGTATCTAAATTAGAAACAAAATGGATTTATTTATTACAAACGCTGTTACCATCTGGCCTGAACATCGATCTCGATATCAATTGCTTCATAACATCACACAATCCCTTATCCCCTTACTGGGTTCATCATTTTTTTCCGTTTTTATACTCATCATTATCCATTTCACTCCTCGTTGGAGTGCATTTTATATATTTTTATATTCTCACACTTTTATGACCCATGTCTCTTATATTCATAGTTTTATCATCACTATTATTCATTTTAATATATTCACATACATTTATGTTACTATCTAATACCCATTGGGCATTATAGGCCTTTATGTTGTATTTAAGCACTATGACATCAGAGATTATCTTCTTACCTTTTTTTATATGGTTTAGTAATAAGATATGGAATACTATTATTGTAATTTTTATAATCTTTAATTTTTATCATACATTGTTTTTAACCTATTATTAATCCAGTCACCACGAGGTATTTATTCTTTTTATTGTAGGATTTTTATGATTAATCCTGTCAGAGGTTTTGCTTTACATATGTTTTATGGCTTTATAAGGAGAGATCTTTTTCCCATATCATCTATTCCACATTTGGTCACTAGGTGGTGCTGTGGCTCCTATTAGATCTCTGCATAGAGATTTAGATCATGTTATAATCCCATCGATTTTGAACCTAGTATTATAGAATCTACTGCACCACCACAAACAACAATTGATAGATGTCCACATGCCCTGACAAACCATTTGACACTTTGGAATATTCCCCTGCGCCCTGTGTACATCCTTCATTAATGTACTGTTCTAATCCACAGCAAAATGGCCGCCGGAGGTCTCACTGGGCATGCGCGACTGCTATTTGTCCTCTAGACATTATAGCCAAAAACATGGCCGCCACACGCGCTAGTGCACATGCGCGGGCGGTACACGCTACTGCGCATGCGCGGGAAGCCCGCGATGCCGCAGTTGTATTGAATGGACTCATTTGGCCTTTGCCTATTTAAGGATATTATTATTATTATTATTATACAGTATTTATAAAGCGCCAACAGTTCGCTCAGCGCTGTACATTACAAAGGGAGACAGAACATGTGACAGAACAATACCAATACAATGCAAAACATGAGGGGATCAAGGGCCCTGCTCTTTCGAGCTTACAATCTAGGAGGGAGGGGGTGGTGGCACAGGAGGAGATAGCTGTGGGGGATGGAGTGGTAGGAAGAGTGGAGGAGGGAGGCAAGTTAGCAGGGGGTGGGGTAGGCTTCCCTGAAGAGATGGGTTTTCAGGGTGCGCCTAAAGGAGAGGAGAGTAGGTGATAATCTGATGGGTTGGGGCAGGGAGTTCCAGAGGATGGGTGACACCCTGGAGAAGTCCTGGAGGCGGGCATGGGAGGAGGAGACCAGGGAACTAGAGAGAAGGAGGTCTTGTGAGGAGCGGAGTGTGCGTGCTGGGCGGTACTTGGATATTAGGTCAGTGATGTAGTTCGGGGCAGTATGGTGGACAGCTTTGTACGTCAGCGTTAGGATTTTGAATTTGATCCGTTGCGCAATCGGAAGCCAGTGGAGGGATTGGCAGAGGGGGGTGGCGGAGACAGAGCGGTTGGAAAGGTGAATGAGTCTGGCAGCCGTGTTCAGGATGGACTGAAGAGGGGATAGCCAGCGGCGAGGCAGGCCAGTGAGGAGGGAGTTGCAGTAGTCGAGTCGTGATATGATGAGGGAGTGGATGAGCTGTTTAGTGGTTTCTGGGGTTAGGAACGTGCGGATTTTGGCGATGTTGCGGAGGTGGAGTCTGCACGAGTTTGTTAAAGATTGGACTTGGGGCTGGAAGGATAGGTTGGAGTCCAGAATGACACCCAGTACTCTGGCCTGCAGGGCGGGTTTGATGGTAGCGTTGTTGGATGTGACGGAGAAATCAATCAATCAATGGGGGACAGGGTTCTCTCCCTTTGAAAATGTGTTATTACACGAAACGCGTTAGAGAGATTCCCTTTCTCATGGAATGCTAACCATATACTACCTCACATGTAAGTGCTGGCTTTGTTTTACTTACCTGTACCTTGATGTTACTCCTATTTGACCATTAAACATACTACACTATTGGAGTTCTTTTCTCTCTGGGCTCTTCTATCTGGCACTGAGAGTCATTATCCTGAAGGATCTTTTCCTGGTCCCCATCTGCTTCGTACGATCCCCCTGATGGCTGAAAATTGTACTGCTGGACACAGTTAACCTGAGATGTGGAAACCTGCTTTGGATAGATGACAGCTGGTGAAGCACCTCCACCTGATGATCACATCCGCATGCTGAGTTCCCACCCCCAGAGTACCTAGGAGTAGGTCTTATTTACTCCAACGCACATTTATCTGTGCTATCTGGTTAGTGCATAGTATGCTCATTGTTTCCAGCCACAGCAGTCACGAAAGTTATCCGCTGTTCTTTGTGTCACTACAGTCACATTACTCCGCATGAACTATATCCTACAAGTTTACGTTACTACGAGATACTATCTAATCGATGCATATTATGCTCATTGCTTCCAGCGTTAACAGTTACGAATATTAACCTTTGCTTACTGTATATCCACAGTCACTTCACTCCGCATGATTTTTACCTAATAAGCTTTGTTGCTGGTAATATCATTTAGTACCACGGTCACGGCAGTCACGAAAGTTTATTATTGCTCACTGTGTCACAACAGTCACATTAATCCGTATATATCATATCAATGAAGTTTTAATACTGTGAGATACCAGCTACATACTGTAACTATTATTGAGCGCCGCATTTGTACTTTTTTTTCTGGCATTTCTTTGAGGATCTGAGGTTGTTTCCTCTTATATGCCGGCTGCTCCCGCCTGTATTGTGCCCAATTTGCCTATTGTAACCCAGCGCTCATATTTTTACTGTTTACATTATACATACAGACTGCTTCTATAAACATTTGTGGAAGAATGAGTCTCTCTCAGGAGCTCAGTGAATTCAAGTGTGGTACCACGTGATAAGTTGACACCTGTACAGTAAGTCATCTGTGACATTTCCTTGCTACTAAATATTGCACGGTCAACTGTTAATGGTATTATAACAAAGTGAAAGCAAGAGGGAATAACAGCAACTCAGCCACTAAGTAGTTGGCCATGTAAAATGAAAGAGTGGGATCAGCGCATGCTGAAGCACACAGTACGCAGAAGTCACCAACTGTCTGCAGAGTCAATAGCTAAAGACCTCCAAACTTCATGTGGCCTTCAGATTAGCACAACGCTGCATACAGAGCTTCATGGAATGGGTTTCCATGGCCAAGCAGCTGCACACAAGCCTTATACCACCAAGTGCAATGCAAAACTTTGGATGCAGTGGTGTAAAGCACGTCGCCACTAGAATCTAAAGCAGTGGAGACGTTCTCTGGAGTGACAAATCACACTTCTCTGTCTAGCAATCTGATGGATGTGTCTGTGTTTTGCCAGGAGAATGGCAATAGGCTGACTGCATTGTGCCAAATGTAGTTTGGTGGCGGGGGGATTATGATGTGGGGTTGCTTTTCAGAGCTTGAGCTTGGCCCCTTAGTTCCAGTGAGGGGAACTCTTAAGGTGTCAGAATACCAAGACATTTTGAACAATTTCATGCTCCCAACTTTGTGGCAACAGTGTTGAGATGGCCCCTTCCTGTTCCAACATGACTCCTTCATGCACAACAGACCCCACAGGTGAAAATTCGCTCCTCTGGACACACTGACAGCCACAGCAGCAGCTACCCCTGGTTTTGTTTACACTTCAGCTGTCATCAGGGGAGCCCCACTGACAGCTAAATGAGTAATCGGTTGTTAAGGATGTGGTGGCTCGCTCCTTAACAACGGATAATTTCCGGCATTATTTATTTCACAATTCAGCTGTCAGCTGTAGAAATCCTGCCGACAGCTGAAAGAACCGAACCTGAAGGTATCGGTTTCAGGTATTGGTGCACTTGCACGAGTAATGATACGTAAATGCCTAGTATCGGCACAGGTACTGGTATTGATATCTGTGCAACCCTACTTTTTTTCTTTGGTTTTATTTTCTTCAGTCAAGATTCCTGCTGTTATTGCTTGACCAGGTCCCTACATGAGAACTATCTGGATCTGTAGCTGGCTTTGGAGTACCATACCCAGCCCTGGCTGGACTGGAAGTGCCCTTCCAGCACTTGTTTCGGTTGTAGGCACTTTCCAGACTCCATTTTTAGTAACAAGATACTTGTGGAGTTATGGCATCGCCTTAACACTTAACCTGTCTTGACCTGTCCCTAAAGACTCACTCTTTGAGTATGCTAATCGTGTTGAACACCAGCAACTAGCTTGACATTTGAACCATTAAGGTGCTTCTAAACCTAAACTGCTTTTTACCTTAATGCATTCCCTGCATTAAGGTAAAAAAAAAAGCCTCCTACCTGTCCTCCTGCCCCTAAACACTCACCGAGTCCTCTCTTGATTCAGTGCTGTTCCTGCTACTCCTTCCTAGTCTCACAGGACACACTGAGACCAAGGGGAGGCATTGGCTTTTGCTGCTGCCATATCCTGTGAGGAGGGAGCAGGGGCATGGCCAACCCTGGCTCTGGAGTGCGCCCTCACACAAGTGCCCCTTACAGCACACGGCCTGCTGAGGGGGCACCCATAGGGAAGAAGGAGGGAACAGCACAGGTGGAGGACTCCAGAAGAGGAGGTGAGAAATTCTATGGGCAATATTTTTGCACAATCCACTAAGTATGAAATATTTATTTATAATCAAGCTTTATTAAGGTTCTCAAACAATATGATGAGAAGAAATCTTTTTTATTTTATTGAAAAAATAGCCTTTACAAACACTTTAAATTTCTTGTTTCCATTTGCTGTGGAAAGGTTTAATGCTGAGTGTTGATGCTGTTCGCTGGGTGGAGCATTGCACACGTGTGCGATGTCCTGTTTTCCACCATTCAGCATAGAGGATGCATCACCCCACTGCTGCTCCTACTTTGTAGAGCAACCTGTAATTCTAACCTTCAGTCTGTTCCTGCTGCCCATGTACAGTGACTTGGTCATCTATGGCCATCAGACACTACACTTGCTACTAGTGGCTGGGTTTGTGATTGCTGAGGCCTTGCCTCATACCCTAAGCTATGTTGCTTTACCACATGTCTAATTCTAGAAATAGAGGGGACAGTCCATCTGTACCAAGTGCTCCTAGCTCACCTTCTGCTAATGTGGCCAACTTTTGCAGCCTGGAAGCCATATGCCTCATTCTTACGGCTGCTTCTACTGTCTTTGAAGACTTCACTAGCGCTGTTGGGTGTGGTTGCCTCCTCTGCTCTGTCTAATGAGGTTTTTACTTCAGTCATGACTGACATTTTTTTTAGGGCAACTTGCTCAGGTGTTTACCAACTCTGACTGCAGGGAGTCACACGTATGCGACTTCTTAAGATTTCTGCAACAGATCTATTTGCAGATCTAGTGGTTTCTGATCTATCAGCCACTGAGAGTCTGCCCAATGCCAAGTTTCTCTAGCCTTTACCGAATATACAAGCTTCTAATGAGTTTCTGTCTTGTGCCATCACTCCCAAAGTTTAAGAGGCCATTTCAGTTTCTATTGATGTAGTAAGCACAACGTTGATACTAGAGGACCAGCTTCTATCAGTGTTGTCCTCCAGTCTAGGATCCTCCTAAGACTTTTCTCATGCACCACTATTCTCAGTCTTCTTTTATGGAGACCAGAAACTCTAAGTTCAAACTCAAGTCTGGCCCCCAGCCCTCCCTCAGGCCTTGGAACTCCATCTGTTCCAAACCTTTAGAAAAGTCTTCCTCCAGATGAGCGTGCGCCCCACCCCCCACTTTCCAAATTGGGTGGACATCTTTTACCTTTAAGGACTCCTGGATATCAGGTGCTTGGGTGAGGGTGGTGGTTTCCAGGTGCTTACAAGCTAGATTTACACTTCCAGCCCACTCTCTGGTTTGTCACTCTACCAGGTCTTCTGAAAAAGGGGGTCGTTGCCCTAGACCTTGTGTTTACTCCAATCTGTTTACAGTTCTCAATCCCAAAGTGGACATGTGCCCCATCTTGGATCTTAAGGCATTAATTATCTTCCGGAAACTCAGCATGGAGTCTTCCAGGTCTGTCATTGCCCCGTTACCGGGGAGACTTTATGGCCTCAGTGGACATCAAGTACACATACCTACATGTTGCCATTGTTCCAGCACACTAGCGGTTCCTATGATTTTCTGTGGGCCCTCTCTACTTTCTGTTTGTGCCACTGCCATTCGGTCTATCTTTTGCACCTTGGGTGTTCACCAAGGTGCTGGCCCCAGTATTATTCTTACTTGTATTTACCCGGGAGACATTATGGCCTCTGTGAATGTACTGTACCTACATGTTTCACACAAGCAGTTCCTACACTCTACATTTTCAGTTTGTGGCTCTGCCAGTCAAAATATCTTTTGCACCTCTGGTGTTCACCAAGATGTTGTCTCCAGTATTATTCTTTCTGCACTGCCCCAGCTCTCCACCTTGTCCAATCAGAGAACCTTTTGCTTCGATTCAGAAAAGGCAAAAAAACATTCTCTGAATGGTGCCTGGGAGCCAACCTCCTGTATTCACAATGCATTAGGACAAGCTGCTCATTACAGGATCCGTAAATAATTGGAGATCACTGGTGTAGTAATGTTTTCTTCAGTGATTTTTGGCTTCCAAGAGCATTGGTCAGGTATGGTATTTACATAGTTACATTGGTCCAAGCTGGTCCAATGTAACTCTGTAAAAGATATAGCATGCCTGGAATTCTTTAACATACCACACCTTACCACATAGTAATGCATTGTGCTAAAGCAGCACATAGTGTGAACAGGTGAAGTCCCTGCTATTAAACGAGATATATAGCATAATGAGCCTAACCCGCATTAACACATATCTGATGCAAATTTTATTGCACATGTAGAAATTAAGACTTCACATTTTTATTTAAAAAGAGATATAAAAACACATTTCATATGGCACAAAATTGCTCTCGGCAAGAGCTTATTGAGAGGATCAGAGTAAGTTGTGTTTGGGAAATCCTGAGCTGACCAGAGGACAAGCACCAATATTCATCCACGCATCCGTAAAAGGGTCCATTAATACATTTTTGTGGAGCGAATAGACCCCAATATAGGACAACTGGTACAAAAATAAATTATTTACAATCCCTTATTTTTCTTCGCAATTTTTCTGTTTCAGCATATCAGATGTTGAATGTTCTGTAAGAAAGAGACATGATTATTACTACACATGGTTATTCAAACTTTTGTCCTATTATTATAACAAGGATAAAGCGCAAAAAGGTCAAAATAAAATAAACAAGTCTATTTAAAGCCACGTGTTCTTCTAAGACTACCCTGTCCACAGGGTGATTACACTGCTGTTTGATTTCTCAGAATGACAAGAGTAGTCACCCTTTATAGAAAGTGAAAAAATAAAGGATCTACTGGCAGGATCAACAAGTAATAAAACAATGTTTGTTTGTTTTTTGAGGAGCAAGGGTTTGAAAAACTGCTGTTAATTCTAGTGACAGTTTCTAACCTGTCATATACGTAATTTTGGATTTTTCCCGTGGGAAACCTATTCTGAGGAACAGTAGCCAACAAAACTCCATCCTCAGTTCTGCTGCTGCAATCAACCAGTCAAAAAAGTAAAGTATAGAATTTTACATTTAGAGGTTGCTTTTTTTATTTTCTTCCCTAGATACAGGTTTGTGTCTTACGTGCCTTCTAATATGGCTCTTTCTGTATCTGTGTTTTGCTCTAACACCATCTTATACATTCTAATTTTTTCATTCTAAATCTATATTTATTAAATACTTTCCAAAAAAAAATATTGGAAAAGGTAGAAAATTATCTTTTACAAAATGTTACAATAGTGCAACAGTAAAGAGGGCTTGTTCTAAACCACTTGATCTTCCTAGAGCAGAGTTTGAGAAAATTGCCTTGAAAAGATATTTAAAATATGGATACGTTGTTATATGAGAAAATGGAGAAAATCTTAAATGTATGTGGAGCCCAATTCCAGTCATAGAGAGTGGAGTTAGAACCTTGGTCAGGTTTTTAGTAACTCTAAGGTGGAGATTTCTCCACATTTCCTGTAAGGACTAGAAGTGATGGGTCATTTCTCCAGCAAAGTAAAAAAAAACCAGAAAGGGTTAGGGCATATAACAATGTTTTTACTGCTGCCTGAACCTTTGTGCCACGATGACAACCGCACCCATATTTCTTATATGGGATTCATAAGGACACCCCCACCCTACCATTCTAAACTAAAAAGTCAAAAATGGCTATAATTAGGCTTTAATTTCATAGTAGTTTTATGACCACTATTTTTTTTTTTACTTCCTGTTCATTGGTATAGCAACTCTAG